CAGAATATAATTGCCTCACAGAAGTGAGAGAGAGAAAAAGTGACGGCGGCCTCGCTTAACCTCGGCTTTGTTGGTAATTGAGGCCAAATGGTGAAGCAGAAACTTTTCAAAACTTTGTATCTAAATGACTTTAATTTAAAATGAGACCTTTTAAAGTTTAATAACAGACCCTAGAAGACAACTTCAGGTATTAAAAAGGGACAAACTACTGAATCTCTGACTGAATCCTGTGAGATTATTGTGACAGCAGATGTATCTCACATGGTCTATTGCATTCAGCACTCCTCCATGCAAAAATATATAGATGATTGTAATTAACTATCATGTAAAGTGGGATAACACTGAAGCCAAGCAATAAGAGTTCCTGATACAGATATCATTGTTTAAGTTAATGTAACATTTCTTTATATGTGTTCACAAGAGCCGTTATGTGTAAAACTTTTTTTTTTTTTGGACATTGTTATGTGGTATTAAAAAACCACATGATGCAGAGACATTGAGATTAATCAACACAGACAGCAACATACAGAGTGCAACATTTTTCAAATAAATCCAGTCACCTCAGATCCTAACGTTATAAGGAGTAGGGATGAGCCCGAAATCAAATATGAATTCAGAAAGGCACAGTTAATGTGATGGACACGGGTTTTTTTTTTATAAATCTGAATATGCTCGTTATTGTCTGAAAAAAAAAAAAAAAAAAAACATTAAATAAAAATAAAGTCAATGTTTATGTGATGCGCTTCATTGACGCAGTGTGCGCCGCCTGAGGCCCTGTAGTTGCAGTCATCTCCCTCTGCCCACCCTCGTTGGATTCATTCACTGAGGCTGTGGCTTCATTCCAGTTAAACCTCAACAACAGACATCAAAATAAAACTAAGAAACTGTAGTTGTAAGGAGATGTGTTAATTTCCTCCATTGAAAAAAAAAAAAAGTTGCAGGTGAAAGTTATTTAATTTAGTCCACATTAATGAAGTTATTCGCTAGATGTTGTGATCCTCGTCTCTCTGCTCACAGGCAGCGTGCTGCATAAAGTTTGGCAGTGAAAGCCTTGTATCTGGCAGGTGGATATCTTTTTTTTTAAAAACCTCCAAACTATACATTAGAATTAACCTCAGAACCTTTAGTTTTTAACTGTATGCATTAGTTTCCTCCACTTAAAAAACGAGGAGAGCGGTAAAGTATAGGTGGAGCTACCGTAGGCACTAGGCAGGCACTGGCATATGAAAGCCTGGTGTGGCAACTGATTATACCTTGTTCAGGATGATGCTAGCAGGCACCATGCACCATACCAGGACCCTGCTGTAACAGGAGCAGCCAACATTTATTTTTAATAATTACACATTATTCTGATCAAATTGTCCTGATATACAAAACCATGTCAACGATTCCAGTCACTGAACATGACCCTTAATTGTGTTGACTACACTGCATATAACAAACACTCTGTATATTCTTCTGACACCAATATAACGGTAAAATAAACACTGAAAAATCAAAAGTATTTTTGAGTTTAGATTCTATTCAACAATCAAACAATGGCTGCTCTCTGTGAAGAAAAGGAGATGAGAGAGCAGGCTAGTGAGAAACTTAATGGACATTGGAATGGAAATTAAACTTTATCTCATGCTCGTTTCATCGTCCCTCTCTCTCTAAATTAGTGATTGCGGAGTTAAACTCTCTCAGGGGCACTCAGGTAGCAGTCGTGCACTGATAGCAAACCGACTGCCTGCATAGCTTTAGATACTTCTAGGAAGTCTTCCACTGCATATGATGATGATCCTGCTAATTAGAAGACAAAGCCTATCTAAGAAGCACTAATGACTCTATTCAAAGCAAAACATTCTCATAACACTCATTCTACCTTAATAGCTACATATCAAAGTGATAACAATCTGGACTTATCAAATGAGGTGAAGAGTTATTCTGAGGCAGAAGAAGGAATTTTTTATTGGAAACCTTCTGACTGAGAGCACAGTTATTACTAATTACATTAACAATGGCTCCATCATACACAAGTGTCCCAGTAAAACGTAACAGTGGGACAGTGAGCCAGCGTTCACAATATCAGGTCCCCTGAAACTGAAGTGGCTAAAATCAATTCATTAAAAAATTAAAGGACCTATGTGTAAGGTATCTACTGCAATAAATCTTAAAATGAGCTTACAGCCAACATGCTATGTTGAAGTGCTGGCTTCTCTGACAACAGAGCAGCAGCCAGGATGTCCTTCTTACAGGTTTCCATTCTGGTGCTGAATAGTTTGTTTTTGTTTTGACCAGAGAAGGTAGGTGGTTTTAAGGCAACCCCACATGGCCGCTGTGGACACCCCTTTGCTTGCCAGGCAAAAAGCAGAAAGGTTTCAAGACAGATGCAGAGCTGTCCTCGACATGGCAAACTGCATACGCCTCGACTCTAGGAAGGAGGGGGCAGGGGAGACAGCTCAGTCCAATGTTTTGAATTTGGACTGGGATGCCCATTTTAAAGTGTCAGTGACATATTGCTCCTTTAGATATTACGTTTTTCAATTACCCCCTGTGCTTTAGAATATTATGACATGTGACTTAGATCTCAGGGGGTGACGAGGCTCCTAAAGTGCAGCTAACGTGTATAACGTGAGTTTGTTTTATCCGGGACTATAGTATTCCTTTTGTGTCATGGTTGCAAAAAAAAAAAAAAAGATGATATGGCAACACAGTCCGGTTGGCTAAACATGTAACTATTCCACATTGATTAACCAAAACATTTATAGTAGAGAACTATAGAAAGGATAGAGGGATTTTTTTTTTTAATGATTATGGCCAAATGACACCATTTAAAAAAAAAAAAAAAAAAAGACACTTAGTTTGTCGTTTTCAAATCTTCATCGACTTGTGCAAATGAATTAGATTTGAGGTGTTTAAATTTACAACATAATGATGCACTGTCAAATACATAAGATGCCAGTCCATATTTGCAAATAACAAATATGACAGTTAAAGCTCCAAGAACATTATATTTGCCCATTTGTGTTTATATTTGTTTCTCGCTCCACAGAGAATCTTAACCATATGCTGAGCTCAGCTGAGATTTAACCATGAAAACATATATCTGAGACGCTTGTTATGCGTATACACACACAGGCATACAACCGCATACATGACACATCAGGTCCCTGGGAGCAACAGAGAGGAGGTACAGATCATGTTTTCCTTTGATTTTGTGGCTCATTACATTCTGTAGAAACGCTGCCCTGCACTGCTTCATGCAGGCAGTTCATTTGGGAGGGTTGGTTTTCTTCTCAAACTATGCAGGCAGGTGTTAAACGAGGGGGAGGGGGGGGGGGGGTGTATTTGTGTGTGTGTGTGTGTGTGTGTGTGTGTGCGTGCGTAGGAAGATAGAGATTTCTAATTTGCTCCTGCAAACAAAGTGATGGAAGAAACCTAGGATGGCACTCAGCATAGAAAGTGATATTACGCATGCCGGTGTTAGAAGGCAGGAGAGTAGATTACCATTAGTCTCTGAAAACAGATTGCTTAAAATGTCTATTGTTTGCATTTGCAGCCTTGACTTGTCAGTAGTACACAAAACTGGGGTAGAATGCTTGACTCAGGTAAAGACCAAAGTCATATATTACTGTTAAGTCGTGTCAAGACACCTTTGTAACCATTTGTGTGTCATGGTGTGCCATTTGTGTGTACCATGCATCAAATAAATAATTACATCCATTCAAACGAAAAGGAGGACACAAAGTAGTGTGTATTTTTGGATTGTGCCCGCAGAAACAATCGTTTACCCCCGCTGTAAAGGATGAAACATGAATTTGAAACATTGCAGACTGTCAAATGGGAGTGACGTCTGCCTAAAAAAAAGACAAATCACATTTAGTGCTCAACAGCCTCCGATGCAATTTTAACATCCCCTCACGGAAACATGCAATGGCACACACACTATGATAGATACAGCGAGGAGAAGCTGTGTCTCACCGGTGGCATGTTCACAGCAATTACAGACAAAGCTGAGGGAGGAAAGCAAAGAAGTAATGCTCCTGAGAACTCATGAGTTACCATGGAAACATCGGCTTTTGAATGAATTTGCTGGAAAAGGAGAGCGCGAGAGATAGAGTCCAAATTGTAGCATCAACTACAACACCCCCCCCCCCCAATCCACATCCACTGGACTGCCAGGAGAGGAGGCTGCAATTCTCTATGCACTGAAACACTGTTACTGATGCTTAGAGCCCCTAACAGCACACTGTATATCACGTCATATGTTTTTAGACAGCCACACAACAGTAGTATGAACAAATATACTGTAATAACATCGAAACACTATTCTGCTGTGCCCGTGACACAGCAAATGCAAAGAGGAAGGCACATACTCTCACTATTCTATTAGAGATGCAGCACTGTGAATTCTTACTACGCTGCATGGCCAGATGAATATCCAATAGGATTGTTTAATATTGTCTTAATGACATGATGTGCAATAAATGAACACACATTACTATATTTCTATGTCTATCTGCTGTTCTTCACATTTTGCTAAATATCTGTTTGCAACATGTCGCCCCTGAATCCAAAATAAATCCAGAAGCATTTTCTCTTCACTTATAAACGTGCCGCCAAGCAATCTGAGGGAAGCAAATAGCTACCACGAGCTTCACAAGAATAAACGCAGGCATGCTGAGTGAGAAAGAATGTCTTGTTCAGATAAAATCGTTTTTCTTAATTATTGTGATGTATGAAGGATGTGGTCATTGCGAATGCTCGTATCGCAATAAGAACAATTGCTATTATTTGGGAAGCTATAATTTTGAAATAAACAGCATTTTTTGATCACCAGACAAAATGTTTCTGTAACGACTCTTTTCATTTGCTTGCTAGAATGCCAAATTCAACACTGTAATGTGCACATTTATGACAACCAGTAATAATGCATTATTATTATGCATTATCCTTATCACCAATATTAGTTCATTTGCAGCAGAAACATTCTTCTAGCATAATAATATGTCACTTACTCGTCATATTTAATGTGGTAAATGACGTCCTCTTCTCTGTCCTTGGTCTCTGTAGTTGCTGTAGAGTCTGTCTGAGAGGTGGAGGCTCCATTACTCTCTGAGCTTATAACAACATTATTCCTGTTACTGTCTGTGGTTTGGCCCTGGCCAGGGGCCTGTCCGAGCTCGGCCTCCAGCTTTCCGTTAGTCCTTTTTGGGGGCCGGCCCACCTTGCCCTTGGGGGGTGTTATCTGTCCTTTGGGTGCTCGTGTCACGTTATCGATGCAGGCCTCGAACCAAGCGCCGATGCTGACGTCTCTGCAGTCCACCAGCTCGTTAATCTGAGAAGACAGAGATGTAAAATAAAACCTAATACTGTTGTAAGTCATCACATATGCCTTAAAAATAATAATAACATTGTACAGGGGGAAAAAAACAATACAAATAAAACCTGTTCTCTGTTGTGAAAAGGAACATGTCATGTTTGAGTCCACTTCCTACACATTAGAACTTTAAATGAAAACTACCGAGTTTAAAAATGTTTGTTTCTTTCACTTGGCAGCCATTTTTAATTGTTTATTCATGACAAAGCTGCTTAAAGCAGTCACTGCCGTCAGACATGTGCGCAGGTTCATACTGTAGCATTTCACAACAAACACTATATCAGTCAAGGACAGAGTGCATTATCAATACCACAATGTTGACAAATCTCTACAAAAAGGCTGAACAATATATCGCTTGAACATTGAAATTGTGACGTGCGCAAGAGTCCCATCGCAGGAAGTGCAATGGGACTCAAGTGACCTGAAGCACGTCATGCAGCCACTTCTGTGTCGTTTGATTCAAAGAAAAACAGCCAGTTTTACTCAAGCATTTAAATTATTTGGACCCCTAAATCAGATAGGAGGACTCAGACTTAATTACTGATTAAGACTGTTTTAATTGTGTTTATGTTAAGGCCCTGAAGAACAGTTTCAAGAACAGGCATGAAAATGAATTTGTAACATCCCACGTTAAGACAGTTGAGGTTCATACATAGAAATAGTTTGGAATTAAACAGTCCTAATAAATCCTGATCTCCATCAGAGCTGTTAAAGTTTATTTTAGATTCCAATTTACTGATTGCGCCTTTCCTACTGTAAAAAACTATCAAACTGTGATGTTATTAGAGTCTAAATTTAGAAATATCTTACAAAAGCTAATGGGTTATCAAATATGTTGATATTACTGGTACTTAAAACTTTTAAAATTCTTGACTTCTAAGTTGCTTATAATTTAAGAAGCAGGAAATTATTGATTTGCAAGGTTCCCACTTGGGACATTACAATCAGAAGAAAATGGATGCTATGTGAATTGCATTCATTTTGCTTACATGCTCTTTTGTGAAAACCACATAATACCTTCACTTAGTCTGCAGTGAATAATTAAAGCATGTTGAGGCATGTAACCTCAGTATTCAGCATGGTTTTACTATTTAGAACTCATCTGCTTAGTCACAGCACTGATCTTCCTGCAAGCTCAATTGGACCTGGAAAAGTCAGCTCAGTCCCACACATATAATACTCAGACATGCAAGTCAGCCAGTCCAGACAGCCGTGCCAGTGAAACACAGTAGTGCAGAGTAGACTCACCAACATGTGGGCTGTAGTCTATTACTAATCTGAAGGTGGTTAGTGAAAGGATTGTAAATGTCAATATCGGTGTCAAATCTAGTCTGCTGACAACTCCTTTATTTATGTTAGCTAAAAGGACAATTTATTTTGTCTACATCTTATACTGCTCATATCAACAAGGTGGTGTCGCATTTAACGGCAGTGGAACACAAGATGCATTCTGCTCAGAGTTTGATTTGACATGAAAACAAAAAAAGAGTGGCCTTCTCAGGAATCTGTGGCAGTACTTCTTAACAAGCCCTATTCAGACTGTCGTTTCAAGCCGCAAAATTCACACCCCTGTGATGTTTCCCCTTCAATCTGAATGCTGCTGAGGCGTAATGGGGGGGACGAAGTGATCCCATCTCTGTACCTACTGTGGTATAGTAGCAGAGGCGGGGGGGGGGGAGTGCTGTGTGTGTGCGTGCGTGCAGAATAAATATGAATGTGAAAAGACGTGATGACGCCACTTTTGCTGAAAAAAAAAGCAGTCTGAAAAGGGCAACAGTTGTAATCATGCAAATCTCCTTAATAGTTTTAAATATTTACACTGTCATCCTCACCTTGTACACACCAATTCCTGGGTCAGCTAGTGTGTTTCTGCTGGATGTCTGCGGCTGGATGTCCCGTGCCGGACTCGGGGACTTGATCCCATTTTTGGTACTGGTTGAATTACTTGTAGTGCTGGTGTCCGGCTTGGTTTCATTAACAGTGCTGGTATTGACGCTGCTCTTGATGCTGCTCTTGTCATTGTCTATACTCGTAGTTTCCATAGCAGCTGGGGATGCAGGTGCTGGAGAGTTGCGGGTTTCCGACATGGAGTCAGGGGGATGAGCTGAAAGACAGGAAACGCCAGAGGGGTCCTTGGGGGCGGGGCTGTCGGGAGCGTCAGTCTGTGAGCGAATCAGCAGCTGGACGATGTCGTTGAGACCCACGTTGTAGTCAAACAGTGTCTGGCCATCTTCCATCTGAAAATATGACAAGTACAAATGAAAAAACAATGACAGTTCTAATTATGCATTGCTGTAAAACCCCAATTTTGTCTCAATAAGTTGTTGCAACAATATTTTTTATCATATTTAGGAGGCATATATTTGCCCAGAGAAGATGCATTTGGTACCATTATTAGTCCAACTATCTTTCCTAAAAATACAATAACACGATATCTAATGCAAACGACTCAGCCACAGAGTGACAAACACACTGAACTGCTTCTCAAGGACAAACGGAGATGCATAGACAGAACGAAATACTGAGCATAGTGAGAGGAAACAATTTGCTCAATGTGTGTACATATCTACAGCGTTAAAATAATTCAAATAAAAACAGCATTTCATTAAATCTGCATGCATTTCAATACACCAGTGGTATTGTAGGATCTTACTAAGAAGTCAATAACAACAAAAACTCATCTTAAATGAGCCAATATTTAGCTAGTGGTTATCGCATGTAGCTATACATTACAGTGTTTTGATAAACATATTTTATTCTTTTTCATGAGCAGGAAAATAAATATTTGCACTAACTGGTAATTTGTTACTTTAATCATCTGCCATATTTGTATTACTCTACATATCCAATCCAATAGCAACGGATGCTTAGCTGCATCACCACTCGCATAGATTCCGCACTGGTTTTCTTCAAGAAATAAAAAGAGAAGAAATAATTGAAAGAAATGGATGAATGCATGAATTACAGTGATAGGAGATGTAGCTGGGGGAAAGAGGAAATGACTGGGTTGCTATGACAACCAAAAGAGAGCACCCCCTTTTCCAGCCCACCCCCATGAACCTGAGACATGTACACAATCTCTGTCGACAAAAAAAATCCACCACCGCCAACAACATCATCATCATCATCAATGCGACTCTGTCAGGCAGTGCGGCATATGTGCATGGGGAAAATAACACCATTAACAAAAGCTCTTATAAACAACTAGGGCCCATCAGAAACCCATATGCACTCCACGTTCGGTCTCCTGTTAAGTAAACAGTAGTACAGCTACTGCCTTAGGAAGAGAGCTTATAGCAGAAACGCTAACTCATTTCAGACTATTCATTTTAAGCCCTCAACCCCACAAGCCCATTGTACTGGAGAGACAAGCATGGCTGCTGCTCTGGCTTGCGCTCCCCTTCTCTTCTTCGTGATTTGACAGCGAGGAGGAGAGCCGTCGGAGGCGTAGCATGAGAGTGGTGTAGGGAGCAAGCGCAATGTCCCCATCCCTCCCCGTTTTTAATAGTCTCATGAAATTTAGATCAGAGGAGCAGCGGTGCAAACACAGCCATACAGTTGTGGTAATACTCATCTGTCCGTACGTCTGTCTTTCTGTTGTAGTCTATCTCAGCATTTCTTTGTCTGTTTTCCTGCCTCAACTCAGTTTTAGATTTAGTAACAGTAATTGCCTTTCCTCCCCTTGATACTGCGTTAAGACACAAACACAGAAAAAGGAAAACAGACAATAAGATCGCTGGGAGGACCTGCAGCAAACATTCTCTCCAGTGTAAAACACAGATGGACACAGAATTAGGCATACGGTCCTACACGTATTTTCAAAACAACATCTAGTATCATTTTCCGTGCACCGCATAGACCCTCATAAATGATGTCTAGGCTGTACCTGCTTTCAACGCTTTCGACTCTCACTGCAAGGTTTTTTTCAGCCCCGACAACAGTAATAAGCAGCTGGATAATAGAAGGGAAAAAAAAAAACACTGACTAAACGTGCAATGATACAAATACGCTCATATGCAGGGAGGTCACGATCTCTTTACAGAAATAACACCATTTGACCGTGCCTAAAATGGAAGGACGGATAACATCATGAACGATTGGACATCTTCTCCTTCAGAATAAATAATGCAGGCAAATAAAAAAAAAAAAAAAACAGGCATCCCTTCTGGTTTCTTCACTATGTGACATCGGAGTGATATGTTGTTCAGTGCACCAAAGGGAGACTTCAGCACCCAGCACACATCACAACAAAGCTTTAGACAAAACCAGAGGCACTTGACTTGAAGATTTCTCAAAAGGCTCTAACAAGTCGGAGTCAAAATCCTTGGCATAGCAATGTGTGTGTGTGTGTGTGTGTGTGTGTGTGTGTGTGTGTGTGTGTGTGTCCTTGACTGGAATAAAATTAACACCTTTCTACCAGACTAACTCCTCTGTTGAATATCCACAGGCATTCTTTCAAAGTCTAATTTCTTTTGAGGTATGATTCAGAAATATTCACAGTTTCTTGTTGTAAGACTTGAAAGGGTTCTCAATGCAAAATGAAACAAACGATGGCAACGTCCTCTTGTTAATATGGACGTTATACTTAAAGGCGTTAGATAAGGTGCTCAGGTGCTCAGAAATCTTTTGGCCCATTCTAATATCATCGTCGAGTTCAAAATGAAGAGTTTCAAAAGGTGTATAATGTCCAAGTTGGAGATTTTGTAGCAGAGCAAAACATTTGTCTTCTTTGTTCTACCAGGTAGTCCCAAACCCCTTCCTCTCACACAGTGTCTTCTTCGCTCATGTCCCCGCCCACAGGCCATCTAAGCGAAATGGGTCACATTTCCAAAAACAATCAGAAGGAGTGTCTGTGTGTCTGCCATCTACGGAGCTTCCTTCTTTGTTTTTTCATCCCTCACTCTGACAACAGTTATTCATTGTCGTCGTCGTCGTCCCCCCGAAAACAATCCCACTGTTAATTAATTAACTGTTAATCTGATCATAAAAAACAGCCCTGCTAAGGTGTAATATCTAGTTAACAGGTAGTTGAAGGAGGGGTAAAACTGTAAAAATGTGGGAGTGTTGGAAAGCCTGCAGTTGTAGTTTAGGTTTCGGGCCTCTTTTGTCTTTACTCTTTTGTCCAGCATGTCTGTCGAAGAAGGGTGTGACTGCGTACCGCATGGCTGCAGCCAACTCTCGCTTCCCCACTGATATCCTCCATGATATAAAGCTTGGCTTATCAATCGAGGGGTGCCACAACATCCGTGAATGTATAATCAACTTGTAGTGCTATCTAGGTCACAGCAACAGTCTGCATGAGAGAGGGCAAGCCAATAAAGCTTTCCTACAGGTCAACACTGAAACATGTTAGCTGCCTCTGCAGAAAGAAAAAAAACACACACAAGTGCAGAAAAGCCATCTTTTTAAAAGGCAGACAGATGCAATACAAACCAAGTTTTTAACCGCTTACGAAACAAGCCGAATGTTTTTTAATTAGTACAGAGAGTTTTACAACAAAGTGAGTGTGGGTGTTGAGCTGATAGGCTGCATTGACAATGAAAGGTGCGTGTCGAAAGTCTGCTCGTGATTAAAACGAGATGTTATAAAAGTGAAATGGAGACACAATGAGTGCAAAGGCAAATTGAAAACCCCTCGAAAAAAAAAAAAAAAACCACTGAGGCAAAGTTGTGTGGCTGGCTGCTGGCTCCAGACCCTTCCGACTGAAGGGCAAGCATGACTTTGAACTGGTGAGGCAGCGTGCACGCACAGTGAGCTGGAGGGAAAAACAAGACGCCATTTTGGAGAGGAATTAGACTGAGTTATTCTGCTACAAGTCTAAATCTTAACAGTGCGCAGGCCCCCCTCCAAACATGTAAAGGCACACGCTAGTGTACGTTGTGTGTCACTGGCTCATTCCTTGCATTACTTGACACGTGGAAATCCCCTAATCAACCCTCCCTGCTTATTTTCCAGAGAAATGAAGGCAGCACAGGATTCACTTCGCGGGGGCAGAGCCTTTGCCACTACAGCTCTGACACACAGCTCTATGACAACACCAACAAACAGCTAATTAATTGTTAATAAAGCAAATGTAAATTAGCCATTTTTATCCCCTACTGTTAATGCTTCTTCTTCAGTCTGCTTCCTGTTGACTTAAGGAAGCTGTTCGGAGCAATGAAACTGGCAAACTAGGGAATGGAAAATGTTTGCAGTGGTGCTTACTTTAGAACATAACATCTGTCATTTCTTTTCAAGGTTATCTAAGTAAACCTTTGTTTTTGCCATAACTACTCTCTCTCTCTCTATCCTGGATTCAATACAGAAGACAAAATGAAGAAAATCGACCCACTGTGGCTTGTTAGATTTATATCCGAATGTCTCCATTATTATTTAATTACACAACAGGAAGAAGAACGGACAATTGAGAAGGCAGAACACTATTTATGAAGGAATTTCTTTGGCCTACAACAGCCAAACACATATTCAGCAGTCTGCTCTGACTAAGTGTAACCTAATGTAAACAATCTGAGATCGACACATCATATATGCTGTTGCTTCCTGCCAGCTCATCTGCTTGGTTGAGTCACACTGTGTTAATATTAGCTTTGTAACGGTACACTGAATTACTAAATAAATCATGACACTGGTGTTCTGCCAGTTTATTATGGACCAAACCAGGGCTTGTAGGGTTTCGCGTACATTTAACAGATAACGCAGATTGAGAAAGGTTAAACCACCAAAGAACTGGGCCGCAAACGTCACACAACCATCCGCCATGACGCTCACAAACACACGTCCACATGAGGACGGCAGCTTTTAGTTGCCAAACCATTCTCTTTCATGACTGCTGGCATTTAATCACATTAAACTTTTATGTGCGCTCAATCTGTTAACAATAAGCAATTCATAGTGTGTGAATTTTCCAACCCACCAGGACAGTGACTTATATACTGAAGCCTCATAAAATGCAGCCTTCCTTTCAGACCAGAGAGACATTTCACTAAGTTCTTAAGTTGAACAAACAATTTGGTTTTTGTAGTTTCCTCTCAAAGAAAATGACATTTGAGCACATGTGATATTTTCACAGACCCGTGTTGCAGTTTTGTATTGTGAATTCTCAGTCATATTGTAGGTTGTAAAGTCATACCATGTTGAAATTACAAAGTCTGACTTTTTTTTTTTTAAAACAGCATATAAAGCATGTAAATTTCGATTGATATATTATATTTATTGGTAAAATAATCCAACATATGAAAGTCTGTTTCAAGCAATAAGGACCAAAGCAGTGTAGTGCAGTTTATTTACCAGGGAGTAACAAAACTATGAAACCCATTCTATACATTTTTCACAATAACTTTTTAGCATGTTAGGGATAGATCCTTGTTAAGGGCATTATATGCTTTAGAATTATGTTTGAACAACTTTTAAAAAATAACCTGTAAAATAATGTGTTCTTTGATTTCAGTCTATTTATGTCTAGACAGAAACTTCAAACATACAATAATGAATTCATAATTTGTTATTTACGTTTAACATGGAGAGACAAAGTGCTCAACCTTCCAGCTTTCTTACTGGCTGCATTACTGAGGTAAATCACAGTGTAGTGTAGTTTACCGAAACTGCATATTATCAAAAATAATGATGATAAATAAGAGACCGTATCTCAAAAAAACTGTTTACATTTAAGCTGAGCTGGATGTGGAGTGAAATATAAAATCAGAAAAAATAAATTTTGTAATGTCACACTAGTTTTGCAGCACTGAAATAGATGTATACATTTAATTGTGAGAAAGGGTTACATTTTAACACCATTCACTGAACTGATCTGTCTTAATGTGTCGGTGATCTGTCGAGCACAAGCCCTGTGCATCCTCACTGTTCAGTGTGCATACTGGTGTGACAACATTATGTAAACACAAGTACACTAATATGTGAAGGCACGTGGAGCCAGCAGTCTCCTCCTACTTCAAATTATCATTAACATTATCATAACACCACATGCACGTTAAGCTCGGCAGGCTGGAGCCACATGTTACAAAAAAAAACATAAAAGGCGTGAATGGACGGATCTTTAAGCGCACTTATAGATGTTATACTACTTACTTATAGCGCTGTTATAGCTAAAATAAAATAAAATATCGTTAACGTGGTTATTCCGAGTGGCGATAGGTAAGTGATGGAGGGTGTTTGTTTTTGTACGGCTTTGGTCTACATGTGGAAACAGAGGGTGATGTTCTCTTTTTCTCTCTCGCGGCAATGTAAACAAACATGTCTACGGCGGTAAGACATTTGTTGCATGCACGTTTCCTCTTCAGCAACCTAAACAAGGCAACAAGGTTTATTTGGTTGTTGTTTTTTTTTAATAACAGGAGCTAACTTCCATGTAACATCACCCATTACTCTCAGGGGCTGGCACACCGCGTACCCCGGGCTCTCTTGCGCAAGAACTATTGGCGAATTCCTATCAAAACAGGAAGCTCGCATGGGTCCGAAACAACCAGAGAGGGACCACTCCACTCTCCACCAGCACCAAACCCTGCTAAAGCATTAACGAAGGGTTGCAAACCAAGACGACGCAACAACAACAACAACAACAACAAAAAAACAATGTTTACCTGCTTTCCTCTGTAGAATAGGCGCTGCAGCTGTGGGCTTACATTGAAGATGTCTTGTATTTTCAACCGTAAAGACTCAATTTTGGTCAATCTAGAAAGATCCTCCACGGTTCGCGTCTCCTTCCCGTCTATAGTACGAACCTGGATCCACATCGTTGTACCGCCCCGTTACGCCACAAAACAGCGGATAAAGCAGTGTTTTTTTGTTTTTTTTTTGGGGTGGTAATATTGTTTCGTAAGTAGGAATGCAAAACGTTCAGGGCTCCATTGCGTTTTCCTCTGCAGAGGTAACGTCGGACTGGCTCGCGCAGGAGGTGTCTCACATGAGGTCGCGGCGCCAAGCAAATCTCGCGAAATAACGTTTAAGCGAACACGGTTTGCACTTAAAGGCGCAGCTCTCTCTTTAATGTAAAAAAAAAAAGAAGTACGAGCAATTGTTAACAATACAGTTAAAGCAACTCCACTTGGTCTCATTGCACGTATAATAATATAATATAATAACATCTGTCTCTCCATACTGTAATCTGTTCTGCACGTGTTACATTTACACATTATCCCTGCACTCATGTTCACTTCATTTGGCTGTCTACTCGCCGTTATATTGTATAGTTTCTGCTTATAATATGTCTACACTCATGCACTTTAACTTATGTCAATACTGTCCATTTCCAACTCTGTTTTTGCACATTTACATTTACTCTTCTATAGTTAATTTACAACCATTTATGACTCTGTTCTTGCACATTTACATTTAATCTTTCATATTGAATCTTCCTATTTAAGACTAGTAATGCTTAGTGAAATCCTGGTTGTATATATTCACATTCTTTTTGTTTTGATATTTGTAGTACTTATTTACTTTGTATTTAATATTATATCATGTTTAGATTTGTGTGTTGTAATTGTGTTTTTTACTCATATTGTGTGTTGGATAACCTGCTGCTGTAACGCCACAATTTCCCAGTTTGGGCTCAATCAAGTAATTCTGTTATATTATATTATATTTTCTGCATTTGTCCAAAGTGTTTTTAAAGGACCTTCAGTACAGTTTATTGCAAGATTGGTCCCGCGGTGAAAAGCACATTTTAAAACATTTTTTTTTTTAGATTTTATGTTCTTGCATACTTTATATGGACATCAGTTGCTCAGTCCATGGCGATTTGGGATTGGGAACTTAAGGGTCGCCGATGTAAAGCTCAGGCAGGGGCCAAGTTTTGAAATTTAGGACTGGTCGCTGGAGAGGGGCCAGTTTATTTCCTGAGCACTTTCGAGGTGCCCATGGGCCAGGCACCGAATCCCCAACCCAATCCTCCTCACTGTGAAGCATAGGCTACTTAACTTGACATCACTCCATTTATGTAGGCTACGTCTTCATTAATGCATGACCACTGAATCCTGTTTGTGCTTTTATGTATTTCCCGGCCTATGTGTGCAGCTTGTTCATGATCAATAACAGAGTGACACAATTGAATTTCCCCTTGGTAGTTAATAAATAGAAAGAAAGAAAGAACGAGAGAAACAAACAAACAAAAGGCATAATAAAAAAATGCAATAATAAAAAAAACATGCTTGAGTTTTTTATACTATTGTTCTTTTCTGAAATGTTGAATGCATCTCAATACTTTATTAACTGAGCTGAGCTGAGCTGTTGAACAAATACTATAAGACAAGGCTGCAAGATCAGCAAAAACAAAGATGAGAGGTGAAAAACGAGGACGGAGAGTAATTGTGTTCAAGTTCTTGTGCAAAGAGAATTCAAGCAAGTTATTGCCTTGCCTGACATTAGCTCCTATGCTAAAATCCCTGTAAATCACATGTGTCTCTTGGTATAATACCTTAATTAGGCTAACTATTGTCCCAGTTGGGGACCTGGGCTATAGTGCCACTGGCACATAACAGAATCACATATTTTCTCACTTTGTCTACCTCCTGTGCACATTGACACAAGAAGCATGACAGCTGTTTAACTTACTCAACTTGAGCTGAATATATTCAGGATCATTCAGGGACATTTTTTTTCACTAACCAATATGGTGATAAACAACAATTGTCTTTTGCTTTTATTACTGGGTTACTTACTTTTATTACTTTTATGTTTTATTGCACACTGTGAATCAACGTGTTACCTGTATTGAGAAGTGCTATAAAAAAAATAAAATAAAGTATTATCATAATTAGCCTATTATTACTTAGGCTACAACAGCCTTAAAACCAATGTTGTATCCATCTCTTACCCTGAAATAAGTTTGTAGAGCTGCCAGTTATCTCCAGCAGTGTACAAATACTTCCTGTGCATTGACAAATGATCACAAGCATAACTTCAATCACAATAAGCACGGGTTTGAGCTTTCTTGGAGAGTATCCTGGTCGAGTTTAGGAATTATCCGACAAGGCAAAGTAAATGTGCAAAATAATACCCCTCACCACAACCCGCCTCACATGGTCGACTGGTGACATCTAGTGGTTAAATCAAACAATGCCCCCCAAAAACAGTGCAGGGCCTGTATCAGTCGGGACCTACTACATTTCTTCTGTAACTTGTTAAGACACTTCAGCGCTTAAGTTATGAATGGGAATTTACGGGTTTTGCAGCTGTTAATTCTTCCTTACGTCGGCTTCGGCATTGCACGTAATGTTTTTTTTTCTTATGTCAGGTAGCTTTCGCAAAGTTTTGCTTCTTTTCTGTGGAAAATGGTTGACACAAATAAAACAAGGTAACTAGAACACGGTGAGGTTGACGCATCAACATTTAAATATATAGCGCACCGAAACAATAACAACTACTTGGTGTGACACGCGTGAAGCACGTAAAGCTGCGCACATCGGGCGCACGCAGGGTGGAAGTGAAGTGGACGATGGAAAGTAGTATTCAGGCAAGCTAGACGGAAGACTCTGCAAACACCCAACAGGGTTCAAACGAAGTCTTAAGAGACGGGCACACATGCGCCTCTTGTGTTAACTTTATTATTTGTGTGTGTGTGTGTGTCATAAAGTAGCTGTCAACTTGCACGCCTAGCTGGTTCCGCTGGATGGCTGGTGATAAATGAAGTGTTTGCATGATCGGACAATCAGCTAGTGTTACTCTGGCTAATGCTACTCGAGCCATCTTGCTGTCACAGAATGTGACTCTCCGTGCGCCGACGACATGAGATGCCTGGGTAACTTTTTAGCAGCTGAGTGTTTATTTTCCTCCCAAAAAAAAAAATTGCAATGGGCAGCGAACGCAGCAATTGCAGGCCCCAATGAATGGAGACAATAGCATAGCTAACCTAGCTAGCAACCTGTCGTGGCTGCTAAGCACTGCTAAAAAAAAAGAAAAAAGAAGCGGTCCCCTTGCCTAGTACATGTCTGGAGCTCCACTGACTGAGATCGAGGTACGTTGTTTCTTTTGGGTTTTTTTTACACTCCGAGCTCTGCCTCTGGTCACTTTGTTTTGGTCTTGGTGTTTCACGTCATCAAGAGACGCTACGTGAGAAGAGAGGACACTGCAGGGCTCCCAATGCGAAAGCAAAACAAACTTTGTTTACTTATTGTTGATTCAACTACTGCTGCTGCTGCTAGCATTGCTTGCTAATAGCTGACTATAAGCTGGTTAACCATTGATGCAAGGAAATAAAAAAAGTTTGCAAATGTCAGAACGGGGGATGCAAAAGGGGGAAAAATTGCTTGTAAGATTAACATTATTGCATTAATGTCAACAAAGGCTATGTCAAGTGAATTATTTCTGCATACTTAGCCATATTGTGTGTGAAACATCTCATATCCCTAATGTTCATTATCTCGATTCTCGATATAGAACTGCACAGTAAGCATTGTGTGTGTGTGTGTTTTTTTTCTTCTTTTTTCTAGTTTTCTGCGACATGTAGCATATCATGACCAACACCAAACTGTGATCAACAAGGACCCAGCAGCCCGGCTCTGACATCATGTCTTCACAATCCAAATGGTTGAACAACAACAACAACAACAACGCTGATGAAACTGATCTCGCAATAACTGAGGATGCTCTCAGGAATGGTACCTGTGAAGTTGAGACTATGGTGGCGTTACACTGTCATGGTGACAGCGGAGATGTTACTGTTGAGGTCGACCCTGCACTGAGTAATGATGGCATGTCAGAGTTTTCTAACAGTGACCTCTCTCTGCCCGAGGTCTGCATTTCTACCAACAGTAATAGTTATGAAGATGATATGAACTATGAAGTCCAGCAAGCTTACAGGATATTCACGGGCTTTCTCTTGGACAAGCACAAAGGCATCACTGGCCCGTTCCTCCATCCTGTTGGTCACCAGGAGGCCCAGCATGGTATCGGGGGAGTCACGGGCAGGGGCCAGGCACAACTCAAGCAGTCAATGTGCTTGTGGAGGATGGAAGAGAAGTTTGTCAACCAGGAGTATGAAACCATAACAGAGTTTGTTGCGGACTTCAGGTTGATGCTGGAAAACTGTTATCGCTACCATGGGGTGGACCATTGGATCTCCAAACAGGCTCAAAAGCTGGAAATCATGCTTGAGCAAAAGCTTACGTTGCTGTCCAGGTAATGATTATGCAGTTACATAGATATAATGCTCGGCAAACATTCAAAACAATCACATAGCATTGTACCTGGGCAGTTCATGTAGCTGGGCAACACATTTATTTATTTATTTTTGGCAACTTAAGCTCATAAGCATTTAATAGAATAACTATATTACCTGCCTGGATTTCAGTACAGCACCATTTACAGTCTGTAGCACATAAATATTATTTTTTATCATTATATGAATATTCACTGAAATGCAGCATAATCTCACAACTATCATATTTTATATCAAATTAATCTAAGTTGAATATGTTGGATACCCGCAAGTCCTTTTTGAGAGCATTTGAAGTTGTTCAACTACATCCGTAACTTAGGTTGATTGTTGGTTTACTTTCAAACAAACTAACACGTATCATCAAGTAAATTCTTATTCATTACAAAGCGTCATTCTTTTTTCTCTGTGTCTTTCGAACTAGGGCTCTGCGAGAGAAGACAACCTTGGCAGTGACTTCTAAAGGACGGTTTGGTGTAGAGGAAGAAAGAGGTTCAGGGGGCACTTCCACAAGGCGGAGACTGGCACCTCGTAGCCTGGCTACCATCACTGTCGGTGGGCATGAGTCTCTCATGGTTCAGACCCTAAGGCTAGAAGAGCAACAGAGGGTCAAAGAGGAGAAGAGGTGATTAAGAGAGAAGCTCAAAATTTGCTGTAGTAAATAGATGTTTAAATTGATTTTATAATATCTTTCAATTTGGTGCAAAAGTAATATTGCCATTAATTAAGATATGTTTTCTGACACTTTAGGCAGCGTGAGCTTGAGAAAAAAGAAGCAGAGGAAATGTCAGCCAAAGAGGTGGATGAGTGGGAGCAGACTTTACTGGCACAAGCGGCCCTCCAAACTGTGGACACACTTTGGGAACTCCCTGCTATAGGGCACTTCCTCTGCCTTGCTCAGACTGCCCTTAACCTCCCGGAGATTGTATTTTTTGAGCTGGAGCGTTGTTTACTGATGCCTCGCTGCAGCCTCCTCCTGTCCAAAATCATGTCTTCCCTGCTGTCACCATCCCAGCGAAGGGCAACCCTGCACCGCCGGCCTGCCCTGCCTTACCGCCGCTGGGAATCCGAGCTTAGGCAGAAGGTCATGGGCTGGTATCAAGCTGTAGGTGCCTCCCATGACCAGTCAGCTCGGGCTGAGAAACTGGGTCTTTGCCACCAGTTTTTCAGTACACTTGGAGAGGTGAGTCCTTTGACAGAGAAACCCTTTCACTTGCTGCCCTTCTACCAGCGAGTTTGGCTTATGAAGGGGCTGTGTGATCATGTTTATGAGACACAGAAAGATGTGCAGGATGCTTTGCTCTCCCAGCCCATTCATGAATGTAGGGAGTCTATTTTGGGCTATGACAGTAGAGAGAATGCCTATATACATTTTCCACATTTCTGTGGTGCAGACCTGAGGATCTACTGCCAAAGCCCCAGCACACCCCCAACTGTCCCCTTCCCTTTATGGGTCAAAAGAGTTGAAAAAGAGCCTGCAGCAGAGAGTGAAGAATCAGATGAAATGAAGGATGAGGGGGTTAGAAGTAACAGGGGGTGTTATGGAGGCACAATGGACACAGGAGAGTATGGTGATTTTGGAAATGGGAGAGGAGAGCTTCTTGGGCATTTCAAAGGGGAAAATGGAGAAGAAGAGGAAGAGGAAGATAAAAAAAGGTTTAAATCTTGGTCATCGAGGGAGGAAAGGGAGGAGGGTTCTGAATCGGTTTCCTCTGATGTAGACTCTTGTGAAGATCCTAAATTGGACTTGAACACTAACTCCTTATCCCTGTCACACACAAGTCCTATTGGAGGAAGTGGTTTGAAAAATAATATAAAGGAAGAGACTGTAGAGTTGGAGCATCAATCCAAGGGACTTGCATTACAACGGGAGCAGGGCTGCACTTTGGGCTCAGCACGAACCATTAAAGCAGAGACAAAAGAGCCCTGTCTGAGTGTTGGGGAGCACAGTTACACAGGCAGGTCCCCTGCTCGATCAGTGAATGTGGCCTTCACAAACAAACCAGTGGAGGGACAAAGTCTCACTCAGGGACACCAAAAATCATCCTGTTTGGACAATTTAAAAAGAAAATCAAGTAATCTCCAATCCGAGGATCACTGTGGGGGAACATCAAGGCAAGCAACACAGTTGTCATCTGAAAGTGCCCAAAACTCAAGTGAAGAGAGGGTGAATGACAAAATCTGGACAAAAAAAAAAAAGCGGAAGAAAACACGAGGGAGGGAACAGCTGCCGAGAGTAAAAGGGGAGCATAAGCAGCTGCAGAATGTGGACAGGATGAGGCTGTCCTCAGCTGAGACTGCCAAGTCTTCAGTGCAGCAAGTTGCCACAACGATCAAAAGAAAGGAGAAGAAGAAAAAACATAAAACAGGTGTGGAAAAACATCCCCATTGATGTAAATATAGCAACTTTCTTTTGGTATTGCATTAAGCTCATTTGTAAGTTTGCATTCATATTGGATTTGTTCTTAACTCTTTCTTTGTTTAATGACTATGTCTCTTATGCTGTTGAAAGGAAAAAAGGTTGATGCTTCAAAGAAAGTTAAAGATGAACCTTCAGTAGAACCATCATTCAAGGTAATCCAACTAATACTTAATTATAATATATAGTTTAGGAGTTAATTTGGGAGTTAATTTGTATTGCTGTACTATGTTAACCTTAATTTTAGGATCGTAAAACTTTTGTTTGCTTCAGCCTTTCCATTTTTCTGGCTCTCTTGTTCTCTTCATTGAAATGTTCTCATTCAATCTTTTTTTTTTTCCTCTGTAGTTGGTATGCACAAGTCTTGAGGAGTTGCGAGAGTTAATCAGTAGGACAGAAGATGAGCTCGATGACCTGGAGAGCACCAAAAAGAGATTGGTAGGGGACAATCACAGTTCCGTTATGAGAATTACCACACATCTAAATGCCAAGTGTATAATTAGCTGTTGAAAATGATGAGCTCACATTATTATTCATTTTGATGTTGGTGACTTAACTTGATCTCCCTTGCATGTTTTAACTCACAGGGTCGGTGGTATTATCGTAGAGAAGCAGTGAAAGACCTCCACAGCACTCTAATCAGACTACTGAATGAGCTTTCTCCTTGGGAACCCAAACTTGTCAAGGCCTACCAAAGGAATCGGTATAGCTCGTTAGAAACAGTAGTTGTACTTTGATCAATTACTGGAATGTTTTTTTTTTTTAATCAAAGCTTCGTTCTAATAATCGTTGGTCTTGTGCCGCTAACAGAAACAAAGTATAATGTTCATCATTTTGTAAAGTTTTTGTATACTCAATCCTTGCTGGATCAGAGACAAATCCTTGCTCTTCTATTTCTGTTTGCTTCTGCATAAGGCTTCGTTTAAAGAAGGAGTTTGATGAATTCAAGAACCACCCGGAGTACAGTAACTTTGTGCGTGAGGAGTGTATTTCGTCGTCATCATCATCCGATGATGATGAAGAGAAGGGTTTTGGGAAGGAGGTGGGCTTGCTCTCAGATCAATATAGAAGATCGGAAGAGGAGGACCTGGAACGTGTTCCCAGAGGTCTTTGGAGTGGAGGTAATTTTACTAGATCTAACATTTTAACTTTGATAATTATTATCTGATCAAAATATAAATGTGTTTTTCCCTGGTCAAAAAGGCTACAGTGCAGTTAAATTGAATAACTCTGTTGTCATCTTGCGTATCAGAAAAATGTAAGTAAGTATTTGTTCTTTGTTTTAATGTTCCCAGCAAGCACCAGAGAGTTTTTGTCTGAGTCGTCTGGAGAAAGAACAGTCATACACCAACTAAAACAGCCTCTGGACTCAACAGACAGTTTGCTGCCAAAAGTTCATCCAGGCATCAGTAATATTACATCTGCCCATGACTCTTGCCAACCATTAAGATCCAAACTGGCCCCATCTAACCAATCAGGGGACTCTGCATCGGCAGCAAGGCTTCCAGCCCAGGCTTCACTATCACCCAAACCCCCCATCCTTCACCCCACCACTGGACTACCTAAGGGGTACACGCCCATTCCCACCCTGTTGGCTAAGAGTGTGGGAAACAAAGTGACCTTAATGAAACACCCTACTGATTGCCCAGGGGTCACCAATTTAGACAGACAGAGAAAAGAGTCAGTGGTGTGCCCACCTACCTCTACAGTGACAACAACACAACTTTTAAAAGCACAAAGTTCTCCAGCCAGTGTCAAGCAGAACTTCCATCCAACACAGGCACAAGGAGCCCAGCAGACAGAAGTAGTAAGACACACAGGGATGGCCATCGTGACGGCAGCTCTTCCTAAATCATCACAGGCCAACACAACGCAGACTGCACCAAAAAGTCCAGTCCAAGTAATTTACAAGGTACCTGAGAAGCTGGGTCAACTTATACAGAAAGATGGTTGCAGCAGCCCAGTCAAGATCTCTGTTCATCCTGTCATGGACCACAACACTGGGGAGAAGATCATGCAGAAAGTAGTGATTCTACCGTCTAACCTCCTCATTAAAAACATTGCAGATAAGGCATCTTCTTTAGATCATCAACAGTGTAAGGGCATTCAGGTCCCAGTTTCTAAAGTTGCTGGCCCCTTATGTATGTCCACTAATGTGCCTGGTTTTACCATTCCTGAAAACAGAATCCCTGTTCAGCAAGTGGCTCCCCTTAAAGATGCCAAGACAGTGAGGACCCCTTCTCCCTCTGTTTCCCCTAATCTGCAACAAGGGACCCCAAATACAGCAGGATTTAACCGGGCACAAATCTGCAATGCTCATGCCAGCACAACTCATGTTATCCCGCCAAAGCCCTCAACCAACATAACTCCTTCTAGTGCAGGTTCCCCCGAACCTATGAAATCTACAGTCCCCAAACAGGAGCTTAGAACTGTGTGTATCCGTGACTCTCAGTCCATCCTGGTAACAACTAGAGGAGGCAACACAGGCATTGTCAAAGTTCAGGCATCCTCAAACAAAAATGCACCTGGTTATTTGCCCTCAACTCCAGTGATCACCATCTCACCTCAGTTTAAAGCCTTTCTTGTTTCCAAGACCGCACAGACTCCTTTCACCGCTCCTTCTCAGACTTCATCTTGCACTGTCCCAGCAGTGACAAGTGTATCTTGGGGGCAACCTCAGATGCAAGCTCCTTCAGTATTGAAGTCCCCTTCCTCTGTCACACCTCCCATGTTCACTGCAGTAACAGACAGCCTTCCTGTCATGGGTTCAGGAAGCCAGTCTCCAGTTCAAGGCTCCAACACCACAGTTGGTTCCGCAGTTTCAACACAGATGAATCAGCAAGTGCTAGTGGCTGCTGCTGGTTCTCATATTCAAACTTCATTAGTAAAAAACACTGTTGTTCCATCGCTGCACAGTTCTTTGATACCCCATGGTCTCACTCAGGGCGAGTTCACCAGCAAGACTGGTGTGAAGAGGCCAAGTACAGATGAGAGACCCCAAGCAACTAAATTCATTTTAGTAACTCCCCCTACTTCAGCTGCATCAAATATGGCCTTGTCTACAGGTACACTCTCTTCCACAAAGCCCATTCCTACTTCAAGAGTCATGTTCATCAATCAGCCTGCTGTAACCACAACACCATCCATCACATCCGCGGGAAGCATTCAAAAGAAGGGGACAGCAACAGGTGCTAGTGGACAGCTGATGACCACACCTTTATCAAGTCACACACTAAAAATGGGTTTAAGTCCTGGAAAGCCTGTTGGTGGGGTCAGCTCTGAAGCGTTGTCCAAAGTGAAAAATATCACTCTGCCTCCAGGTGGGTTTCTTGGTATGGTTGACTGGCTCTCTTGTGTTTAATCAGTCTATAAATTTAGCATGAATGGGACATTCTGTTTTTTATTTTTGCGATGAATGTTATGTTTTAGAATTAACTATTTTCCTATTACTCTCCAGGTTTTCAAATTCAGTTAACAGGGAAGACAACAGCCCTTGGACATATGATAGGTGCCCTATCAAGTTCTCCCTTAAAGAGCATACCTGCGTCTGTCTCATTTCCAAGCTGTCCAACAGCAAGCAACACCGGACTGGACCCTGTCACAAGTTTGAACACCATCACAAGCTGTTCTGCCCAGCTTGCGTCTTACACTTCCTCGTCCACCAGCACAAAGCTCCAAGTTTTACCATCATTCCCCCAGTCGAGCTCTTCCACATCTACTTCTGCCACACTGCCTGCAAGAAACGTGATCAACAACGACCTTGGTATGTTTCAAAATATAATGTCCTGCAACTCTCCTGCTCAGGTAACCACTACTGTGCAGAGTAGCCCAGCCCAAACCTCCAGTGTCATCCATCAGCCCTCAACGCCTACAATTGGTAAAGAATCTCTCTCATCTTCCACTGACCATAAAACCCAAGCAACTCTCTCCCTGGCAACGACAACCAATATCCCAATCACCACCTCTGCTCCAGACACAATCCAGCAGAGGATAGTCATCAAAACATCGACGCCCCTTGTGGCAGGAACACAGATCCTCCTCAACAATGCACGTTTTGTTGTCCCTCCCCAGGGATTGGGTCCAGGCAGCCATGTCCTTATCATCTCTAGCTCTTCGCCTCAACAAGTGCCTACTGCCAGTGCTACCAGCTTTGCAGCATCAGTACCTCCACAAGGGGTGAGCCATGTCCCTCTAGCTCATCAAGCACCTGTTTTACTGCAATCCCCTGCTAAGCTATCTGGTGTGCCAGCTTTAAGTTCTCCTTTTGTAGCATGCACACCCGCTATTGGTCCATCATTGCCAGCAACAACTTCCAATGTCATCCCTGTCCAATTTAAAAGTCAAGGATTAACATTGTTACACAGTAAAACCAATGTAGTGTCTGCTCTTCCTAGGATGCCAGCTATGCAGGCTGGTAGCTTCGCATCGCCTCCAATGGGTACACCAACTCTGATCTCATCCCCACAAAGATTAGTCAGTGTACCAGCCCTAGTTTCCCCAGTGGTAACCAGTGCCTCTGTTCTTGGCTCTGCACTGGCTACTATCAGGTTATCTACTGGAACGCCAGTGAGAGCTGAATGTTCATCCACCAGTGCGCATACTGTAGCACCCACCTTTGCCAGATTGTCAGCACCTCTATCATCCTTCTCTCTTTTACCCAGCTCAACAGCTGTTCCCCTTACCAGCTCGGTCATAACAGTGCCCACAACACACTCATCCGCTGCAGGCACACCAGCTTTGCATTCTTCTGTTCCTGCCCAGAAGATGGTTTCAGTGTCAACCCCAGGCCTAGGCATACAGCCCCAGCACACAATTGGAATTGCTGCATCCTCCACTGCTCAAACACAGGCTTTGGCTCATACAGGGCTGGGAAACGCATCAATCAAAAAGACAGTTCCTGCAGGAATGCAACCGGTGCATGCTGGCATTCGCACACAGGTTTTGCCAACAGTGGCTGTCCCACCAATTGTTAGTGCAGTGTCCAGGATGCAGACACTGCCCATTGCTACAGTTCCACCAAGTGGAAGCACTGTCAGTACCTTTGAAACACTGCCTGGTGTGAACGCACCTTCTTCAAGCACCACTGTAATAATCAGTCCATCTCAAACAATCTATTCACTGAAGACAAACAACAACATCCACCCACCTGTCATTCTGACCAATCAAGCCCTCGTAAAGAACTCTCTGCAGACCTCATCATTGGGTACGCATACCGGTGTATCATCAAAGCTACTGATAAGTCCTGATGGGGCCGTTTTAAATACAGTTCAGGGCCAGGTCAATCCAGCAGAGCTGACCACCTGCCCCAATCCACTGGATGCACTAGCAGTTTCCCCCAACAGTTCCACTGGAGCACTCCACACACATGATTCCTCTTTCCAGCCTTCCCAGGCTGACAGAAAGTGCACCAATTAACTGAGACTGTGCCAGGTATGTGAGAACTCAAACACCACTTTCCATTGTCTAGTTGTTGCATAGCTCATAACCACTGCTTGTAGTACTCCTATTTAAAGAACTGCCTTCCTGCTGTAGTTTGACTCACAGGATACTGGAGATCATACCCTGGTTAAAGCATCTCATAGGTGAACTGTATGCTCAAGCTGACATTCTAGAAATGTATACTCTGTTTTTTCTTTCAAGTGAAAACTGTTGAGGTTGCTCTCTGATGAATGTTTTAGATTTTCAACTTTCCTTTTTTTTTTTTTTTACTTGATGGCCAGTAAAGACAACTGTTAAAAATGCAGTAGAACAGGAGTATAGATAAATTCAAATGAAGCTTTTAAATAATTTTCAGTACAAGTAGATACTGCTTCAAGGAGTTAAACTTTGGATACTATTCATTGGTACAACTTGCTCTGCATTATCTGTCAGCCTGAACAATACAACTGTCTATATTCCGATTCTGTCATATGGTCCTTTGTTAAAGTGCTTGAAAACTACATTTTAGTTTTTTGGAAGTATAAATAAACGAATAGATGAATTTGTACTACATGTTCAGGCCCATATAAAATGTTTTGAAGTCACATTTATTTATTTTTACCATATAGATTTTTCAAAAGTATTTACTAGGTACATTTTCATTGAACAAATGTGGACATTACTGCATGGAAATAAACAATGCGACTGTCCCCAACAATTGAGTTTGAATTGCTTCCTTGTACAGAGACTCCAGTGAAATCATGTTTTATTGCTTAGTGAAACATCCTACTATATATACATTGTGCTCATTCATTTGAATAATTTTACAAAGTGAGGGATACAATACTTTCTGTTATTGGTATATTTAGCTACAAAGCATAAGAAACCATAATGAAAGTGGCATCAGATTATATACCAACAGACAATAGATGAAATTTAAGAGTTTGTTCTCCAGTATTTTTCCATCTTCCGACATTTGTCAGTCTTCTGCAGAAGTCCATCAGGGGGTATAGGGTGGAGGCAGCGGTACTGAAGAAACCTTTTCATAGGCTGGAGGAGCATTAGGAATCTGAGGAAAAGTGAACAAGAACAACTAAATAAACCAGAGGTATGTTTTGAGGAAAATCCCATTGACAGTGTCATAAATGTCTGCATAACCTCTTTTATATTTAAAGTTTATATTGTAATGTTTGTACAGTATGTTGCCTTTTTTGCTGGTTTCCTGACACTGGGTATGAACTGTTTTTCTGTGTACTTCTGGTCCCAAAGTTCTTGCAGCACAGTTTATATGATTTCATCTGTTTTAGAACTCAGGTGACTGCTGAAATAAAAAGGATGGGAATTGTTTAAGGGCGTTTTGCGACTGCAACTTCCTCTCATATGAGAGGGTGCTGATCTGGTTCATCTCCCTTGACTTTTCTGCAGTCTTGGATACAAATACCTTCCTGGGTAATGAAACATTTTAATACCCTCCCCTAGTCTGGTGACACAATAATCTCTTCTTCAGGCATCCATTACATCAGCTTCACGTGCTCCACAATGTGCTCAGAGTTTTGAGGCTCTGTACTAAGTACCCCCCTGTAATGAACTTTAGGTTGTACAGCCTCTGGCCTATAGGTAACTTTTGGGGGTATGAAAGTATTGAAATGGGTATATCAAAAACAATTACTCCCAATGTTTCTTGCTGTGGAATCTATTATATGTTCCTGACATTATATACTTTGACTTAAGGAGAGGTGGATTCAGTGGAAGGCAATCATGGGATCCTCACCGGAGGTTGGAAGCTGCCAAAGTTTGTTAGAGCCATCTTGTTTTCTGCAGAAGGTCCTGCCTCTGAGAATTGAACTCCTGTGAATCCTGGTGACCCTGATCTAGGGGTCTTCAGAGGAGAGAAGCAAAAATTAGTTCAGGGTGATATATGGGTGTAAAAACAACAAAACATTAGCAAAATGGTAGAAAACTTAAATAAATGGTGTATGAAGATTTGGATGTTTGAATTAAGGAATTGAGTCAAAACATTCATACTTACATTAAATAGTTAAAAACAAACCACCCACTAAGTACAAAATGTGAAAGGTAACACAAATATTATGTATGATTGTCTCACCCTGATGATTTTGTATCCACTTCTCTTCTTAAAGTACCAGCAGCCCAGGATGAGGAGAGCTGCAATGATGACCACCAGCAGAACGATGCCCACTGCCCTGTTTAGAACAGCACAATTTAAAAAAAAGACATTAGGTTGAGATAATGGCTTTATTATAGCATTGTTTTATTGTTTTGTTGAAGAAAGATCAGTATCACAGGTCAAAACAACTGCAAAAAGGTAAACGAAAAAGAGGTATCTCCAATGTGTTGATCCCCGAGAAACACATACTCCTCAGCTCTGACATGTTCTCCTCGTCTGCTGCTGGCAAAATAAATGTTGAAGTCTCCACGAGGCATCCCGTGTGTATGATTACACCGCATGAAGCTGAAAGTCAACAGAAAATCACGTAATCACTTAATCACACTTAACTAAGTACACTGTTGTAACAAAATGAATTTCTAAAATTGTTCCAAATCCTTAATGTCATTGAATTTAGAAATAGTCTTAATAATAATTCAAACCATAATGTGTAACACCAGCCTGCTGTTTGAGCATTATAAGACTATATCCAAAATAACAATTAGCATTTATCTAACAGTTGCAGGCCTTTATATAGTTATCAGCAACCAAATGTTGGACATAATCAGTCAAGACACAATTAACTAGCATGAATCTCTTCATTGATTGTTAATTAGTTGTCCTTTAGAGTCAGTTTTCATTAATTATTTTTGTCCAGAGTTGTGCTCAGACTTGAGAGACAAAATGTCCCATAGCCCATGTAATTTGCTGTAATAGTTGCATCTACTCAATAGGTCACAGCAATATAGGGATTTGCAGCATTGCACATGCAGATAAAAGATTTAAATGTCTGGGTCTAAAAAAAAAAATTCTAAAATAAAAGTGCACTGCCAAATTCAATGATCACCACGCTGGTGGTTTTTCACTCGCTTCTCTTGGTGTTGGTTGATGCTCTACAACGGGCTCTTAAAGCTGGATTAGAAAAAGAAAAAATATGTTCATTAAAAAAAAAAAAAAATGCAGTTTGTGTTTGTTTGTTTCTTGTTTTGTTTACTCTCTTAAAGTTGCAGAAAAGATGCATCATCCCAAGTGTGAGTACAGCGAATTATCAGGTAATAGTATAGATTAAAAACTATTTGAATATAATCCAATCGCTTGTTGATCTCTTCTTCATAGCAATGCCAGTGCTGGAAGATTAAATCATTACCTGTTGCAAAATAGGCTATTATTTGACGGCAGATTACTGCAGCATCTTCTCTTGATCCGGTAAAAAACATGGTGTGTCTAACTAATTTTACAGTAATTTTAGTGGATAGGCTCAACAGTTTGCATAATGCAAACTATTGTAGAATACACGTGCGCTACAACTGGGCAACAAAGAAATGAGTATGGCGAACAAAGCATCATCTTACCAAATTAGATAATTAGATTGAAGAATACAGTTCCTCTGGTTGGGATGCCTTCTCACATAGACTGGGTCCTTAGAGCTCTGTGTTACTTCAATCCTCAAATACCTTTCCTCAGTGTGCCGGCGAGCAGAGAAGGGCAGAAAACCCTCATGACCGTCACGGGTTAGAGGCTCATGGTTAAACCCATTGAAGCAGAGTAATTACCATGAAGCCCCGCGGTCCTGAACGCAACATTATTAGCCACTCGTGAACGTACAGGCGTCAGCTGCTGTGTGCTTTTGTGTGAGCATGTCTGTGTGTTTGGTATTGTGTCCACAAATACCCTAATCATATGCTAATCTAACAGCTACACTTAAATGTAGTTTAAAGCCCTTCTTACGCCTTCAACTGTTTAAAAAAATGAAAGCTATAGGCCTATATGCTGTGAAGATGTTTAATAGTCATACCATGAGCTATGCTGTGCAATAGACTCGTATTGAGCCATATTAACTTAATTATTTTTAAGTAGCCCACCATCTTTTGTTGGTACACAAAAAGAATTGTATTTTTTTTTGGAACCAAGCACTTTGTTTGTGTCAAAGCACTGTTGCAACACTTAAAAATGAGAACAAAGTTTGTCCAGACATTTTTTTTGTCTCTCTCTTCACTTTTGTTTAAAGCTCATCCAAGAAAACCTAAAACACAATCAAGAAGCTGTGTGCCTTTTAATTGTTTCGGCTGCTCGTATAGGCTACATGCACAACTATCAGCAATTAAGTAGGCTAATGAAGAGCACAAAAAGTGGAGTGAAACTTCAGAACAATTTGAGGCTCTGGTGGTCTAATTTCTTGGAATTAAGTTTTTCAGGTTAATGTTAAGGCTGGTTAAATGCTTATGAACTGATAAGTGCTAAAGAATGAAAACTTGCACCTTGTTCCAGAGGAGAGAGGGAATCCCAGATTACTTAAAAAAAATATATATTATCTCAGTATAGAAGGTGTCCTGAAGGCATCCCTTTAGTGTCACATAGCCTATGTCAATGCTCACATGGCACCATATGCTTTTGATTTTACCTTTGTCTGCGAAATATTGAATTTGTCCACAAGAGGGAGACCAATTCCTGTGTTTGAGTCTTCTGTGATGTGGTGGCAGTGGTTCATTTCATTCATATTATCAATGATAGCATTCATTAGTGGTTTATATACCAATGTATCTAGGCTACGTGTTTCGGCATGCCTGTATATAAACATTCTTAGGAGCAATTGAAAAAAACAAAAAACAAAAAAAAACAGAAAGAGAAGGGAATCTATGCAGCTTTAAGTGAAAATGGAAGCGGTCCTGGCAAGTTTACGAAGACTTCATCACCTGGCCGAAACCACATTGATAATAAAAAAAAAAGTGGATGGCATGTAAGCAGGCAAATAAAGAGAAATTTGATTATTTTAATAAAGTTGTTGTTTAGGAATAGGTGTGGAAAGAAAATACTTTAAATGGTGAAAGCTTTTTTTTTTTTATCATTTAATTATTATTATTGAATTTACTGTCATGCGAAAATGTATGAATAATATCACTAAGGAAAAAAAAAAAAAAAACTATAACAGGAAACAAAAAAATACCGAATTAAATGAAAGTGTCAGTTTTCACTCCGGCATTTGTTTACCTTTATTATCACGCGTAAATAATGGTCATAACCGGTAAACCCGGCTCCCCACCGGTTGAGGGAGTTATTGCTTTTATCGGTTCTTCCGGTCGGCATTTTGAAAGCGAGAGAGAGACAGAGAGAGAGAGAGAGAGAGAGAGAGGTAGATATTGTGGACCCTCTTTTTTCTCTCTCATATTTTTTTTAATCCCTGTTTACCTGCACACATAAAACATCCAGCGTCTGAAAAAACAAAAACAAAAAAATCGTCGCCCTGATAAGGTCGGTGTGTTTTAGGTTTTAAAGGTTGGGGGGGATGCTCTTCCACCTTCCAGCAGCCGATATGCTACTAACCGTGAGAAAGAAGAAAATCCCCAGAAGGGAATCACTGCCGTTGTGTTAGCTGATACTCCGAGGAGCTGTTTGAACAGCGGGACGGAGAGGGAGCTAGAGACTCTTCTTCCAGCTGCCATCCTTACTCCTGCCCCCTGCTCCTCCCCCTCCTCCTCCTCCTCCTCCTCCTCCTTCACCAGAACCACTTCTCTTTCTCATCACATCCAGAGGTAAATAAGCCACATTCAACAATAACAACCTATTTCCAGATAAATTGTTTACCTTCCCCGGGGGTGTTTTCCGCAGCGTCAGGTAGACCCAAAAGGGGAGCACGTCGGGGGCACCGCTAACGGGATTAGCCAAGTAGAGGGGGGGTGTTGGTGGTGGTGGTGTTGGTGGTGGGGAGGAGGGGATAATTTTGATTTGTGATGGGGTCTTTTGCTTTGTACCCCAGCCTCCCTCCCTGGCGTTCGGGTCGGGGTTACGCGTCCTTAGGCAAGTCCGAGGTCCACTTTGCGAGCTAAAGATGCGTCGAAGAAGGCCACAGCAAGTGTGAGTTGAAGGAAAATAACCCACACACGACCTGCTCGGTGAAAATAGCGCCCGGAGTAGGAAAGCTAACTGTGGTTCGAAGCACTCCCGGTGATGCTAGCTCGGCAAGTTACACATATACCTTGTAAGTTAGCATACGTTAGCTAACACCTCCAGTTGTTGCTAGCCGGCTAAGCCTGAGTTGAATTGAGTCACTTTTTAAAGACGATGTTACGCTGTTCTTACGCCTAACTCTGCCTAGTGCTCCCTAAATGTAATAACTGAGTAACAATACAGTCATATCTGTTGTTGAGAAGGGCTAATGTCGCTATTATAGGTTAGGACAGCCCCGGAAACCCTAAAAAGACTGTAACGTTAACAAAAGAAAGAACTGTGAGATGCAACTAGCTTTCATTGTTTTTCTTTAATGTCTTCGGGTTTTGGTTTCGTCGGTTTCCACAGGGCGGAAATGTATGTTGTTAAACTAGTTTAGCCGACATATAAAGGTTAAAGGTAACACAAGAGTCACATAAAGAAACATAATGGTTGTAACTTTGTGTCATGATTTATATCCGATAGCTGTTTTCTGCCACCTGAGTCTGTTTACAGTGCACGACATGACAAACTACACTACTGCGAGAGTTAAATTGGCAGATGTTTCTTTTATTTATGATTCAGCATCAGTTTTTTTTTATGTTAGACTTGAGCAGGTTGCATAATGTGAAGCTATAAAATATAAACAATGAAGGTCTTTGTTTACAGAATCAAAGAGACGACCACTGGATGACATGGTTTGGGCATCAGAAGCTGTATCAAATCAATAACTTATAGAGACATGCCCAGGCTTGCTACAGGACCAGTATAAGTTGTCTACGTCAGAATTGCATTATGTATGCAGTGTAATGATGCACACCTATGTGTAGACATAGGGTTAACCCCTTTTCTAACAAGCAGTACTCTGCAATGATAACATGGGAAACACTTGGTTATTTAATAATACCTTGTTGACAGTGGACATTCTTTAAGAGTGTATTTTGCCACTTATTGTTTTGTGTCTCTGCAGCATGTCGGAGATGTGAGGAATAGGAAGAGATTGGTGATATTGAGCAGCCTGTGCATTGACACGACCTCTTCACCTCATCTTCAGCATGAATGGTGATATGCCTCATGTTCCCATCACTACTCTTGCTGGAATTGCTAGCCTGACAGATTGTAAGTGAAACAGCATGTCTCTTAATAGCCTAAACACTAACATTCTAATCAAGAAAGTTCAGGTTTTTGTAATTTGCCTCACTAGGCCAACCCTAGATGGAGTGGCATAGGACTTGCATTTGTAAGCTCAGATTCCCTAAAGACAGTGTAAACTCTGTATTCAATCTACTCTTAATATCCACAAATATACATTTATAACTGAAGTTTGGGATTTAAAAAAAATTGCACCCAAAGAAGTGGTAACTTGGAGGATCTTTCATCACTCATATACTGCCATATTTAAGGCCTTTTGACAGAAAGATAAGCAATATGTTTTAGGTATTAGTTTCACATGATTTCTGTTGCCGTGTGAAATATGTATTATTATTATAAATGTAGTTAAAATTATGTTATGTCCAATACATGTAATCTAAGTTTGGATACATTTATTTAATTTGACCTGGGAAAAAAATGAATATGCTTACACTTAAGTTGAAAGAAAATAAAAAATACATGTTAAAAAACCATTGTATTATTGACAATTAGCATTATCAACAAGTAGAGCACCAGTTTCTTTATTCAAATAATACATTCTTACACATATTTCCAGCTACTAACCTTTTTTTTAAGAACAGTTTGATAAAAAAAAAAAAATTCAGTCCAGTTTCTTTTCATTCTGCACCCAACATGTCTTGTCTTTCAAACATCCTTCAGTGTTGAACCAGCTGCCCTTGCCTTCTCCTCTCCCTGCCACCACTGCTAAGAGCCTGCTCTACAATGGAAGGATCTCCGATGAGGTCAGCAGCCTCCTGGTGTGTCGGGACGAGAATCTAGTGACCCAGCTGGCACAAAGCCTCAACCAGGTCTCCACTGAACACATGTAAGTACAACTTACCAGTCACACCTAACTGAGAGTTCTTTGAAGAACTACAATTTAAGGACAGAAAACTTGTCAGTGGCTAACACAGTAGGTTTATACTGATGCTAAGATTTGATTGGGAAATAGATCATGCAGAAGATGGTAAATTTATACAATGTGTTGCACGATTTGTTTTGAAAACACAATATAGTCACCACTTCAGCTGAAATAGCTTTCTGATGCTCTTCGTTGTTGAAATTACAAGGAAAAAGAATGCATTCATAAACGCTGCATTTAGGTCAAATATTGCCTCCAATTTGACTGTGGACATTTGTTTTGTTTGCCTTTCAGAGAGTTGAAGGACAACTTGGGAAATGACGAACCTGAGGGTGAAATGCCAATGCTTCTGCAAACATTGCTGTCAAGGAACCCCAAAATCTTCAGGGACAAAAGTATGCAAACACACTACCATGTTTGGGGTTGTAAGGGCAAGATAATGAGACTTGTACGTGCATCAGTGCATCCCTCACTGATTGAACTCTTTCTCTCAGTTCCATAACGTACCTTTTACCTGAGCACTTGTTCGGTCGTATTCCCCTCCGGTCGCCCAGTTTCACAACATTAGTTGTCCCAAGTAGTTATAACTAGAAATCAGCCGACCTAATCTTTTATAAGATCCAACATTTTTTAATATATATTTTCTTGGTTTACAAAGGGTGGCATGAGATTAACATTTAGGTTTTTTACTCTTTTGCGTGGGGATTATTTTGGCTCTTCTTATCTGTGAATGGAGCAGGCAATGCAGAAGTGCAAAGACCAACTGAGTCTGTCCAAAGGTTGGCTTCAAAAACAAACTGGTTCAGAAATAATGGATTTTATGTCGATAGCTAAATTCTTAATTAGCCCAAACTGTACAGGGGAGGAATTTTTTTTATAAGTCGTCTGTTATGATTTTCTTGCACCTCATATTTACCTAATTAAGGGTGTGGCTGAGTTGACTGACAGGTTGACGCATTGTTGCTGTTTGCCAGGAGGCTTAAGGCCTGTACATTGTCTACACAGTGTTATGTGAAGATAGCATTTCCAACATGGCGACGACCATTGTTGGGCTTCAAATGCTTCATCAGAAACAAATGGGGGATATCGCTAAGTCTACTTCCATGTTTCATATACTGATAATCTATGGAATGGTGTCTGTACTGGCCATTACCATTTATTGTATCAGAAGAGCTAATGAGCAATATTAACACAAAACCAGCTGATGAGGGGCCTGTATGTTTTTAGCTTAGCTCAAATATAAGTAACGTGTGAAGACAGTTAACCCAGCTGTGTTAAATGTGAGAAAAAGAGACAGTTGATTTTACTACTGGTAGCTCATTTTCATGTATTTGAGCAATTTTTTGATCAACAAGTGTGTCCAGTGACCATGATATCATACACCCTGTGTCTTTATATCTGAAGTGTGCGGTGTATGCTTTGCCTATATATCTGGTGATGTCGCTGTATATTATAACCTGAGCAACAGATTTATTTTGTCCCGATGTCTTAGGTGCACTGCAGCAACCATTGATACAACAGTATAAGGTGTCTCAGACTCAGGTGCATGGGAGTCCAGGATCTAACTACCAGCACACCACTGTCCCTCAAAGTCCCTCTGGGTAAGTCAGAACCAGAATTGTGTCAATAATGAAGAATAAGAAGTGTCTCCACATCTGTTAAGACCACTTCATCCTCTTTCACAGATGCTTTACATCCCAACAGTCTGGATCAGGCACTCGGTTCGTAACCCAACAGAGCAGCCCTATACCCAGTCCTTATACCCCTCAGAGTCCTGCAGACTACATGCAGTACAACCCACCCAGTTATTCTCAACACCAACAAACTCAGCAAGGTGAGCAGAGTCAGGAAAAATGTGCCATCAGCTACCCGTTTAACCTCTAGTAGGACTAGCAATTTGTAAATGAAATTTTGTTTTGCTCTCTGGTTTAGTTGCTAGTGTTGTGAGAAATATCCATCACAACAAGGTCTCTGGACAGCTGTCAAGTAATTCATCGCATCATAATGCTGAATTGGGCTCAGATGAAGACTACATGAACATGGCTCACAGACTGGGACATGAGGTAATACAGAGAATTAAGATATCCTGAACTGCACTTCCACAGATAATGAGAGTGCTAATAAATGTCTTCTCCGCCAACAGGAGAATGACCCCTCCATGAGGGCCTCCAAGTTTCCGGTTAAATCACCACAGTCTGTGTGTTCCCCTGCTGGGAGTGAGGAGGCCGTGAAAAGTATGCTGCCTTTGCAATAAATCAGTTTTTATCATTTTGTGCTTTAGAAATATTGCACGTTCATTCTTCACTAAGACTTATTATTTTGTGTGACATTGCCCTTTAATTCCTTTGTGTTTAAATAGGGTCCAGGCGTACCCTTATCATGGAGTCACCCCAACCTGATACGCCACCGGGTACAGCTCCAGACCTGCTCCTCACCTCTTCTGACCGCAAAAGAAAGCAGAAAGAAAAGATTAAAGAAGAAAACAAGCAGATTGATAATAATGCTTCGTATGGCATTGTCAGTTCTCCATTAAAAGACTCGGCGAGGCTGACTTTAAAACTGACACGAGTAAAGAGTCCGAACATGGATCCATCGCATATCAACTTACACGAAACAGATTCAATGAATAACAACAATCAGTTGTCGAGAACCACCCTGGACTTGACGCATAAGTTAGGTGCTGAGGAGCAGGAGAACTGTCAGCAGGTTCATGTCCAGCAGAATTCCAAGGAGATCGGAGTCATCGGTGGAGACGTGTTTGACGATGCTGAGATTGACACGCTTGTAGAAATCGACAGAATAGAACGCGAGTCGGCAAGTGAGAGGGAAAGGTGGTCTAAAGAAGTCCAGGATAAAGGTATTTTGTGTTTGTTCGTACCTGTGCCACCATGTCTATTTTTTTTGGGACCAGATCAGTTTCTGCTTATAGAAGGTCTAAGCTACATTTTTTATTGCAGATAAACCACTTAAGAAACGGAAGCAAGACTCGTATCCTTTGGAATCTGGAGCTGAGCCAACTGACGGGCCGACAGTAACAGGGGACAACACTGACAGCAAGCTGACACCCAAGAAGACAAATGCTGCAAGTAATGGTTCCAGTCGGCCTGCTTTGATGGTCAGCATTGATCTGCAACAAGCTGGCAGATTGGTAAGACAGCCTGTAGTGGTCCTGGAACCCCAGCAGCTGTGTGAGGACCACCTCAAACGCATTAAGTTGAAGACTGACGGAAAGGTGGATACAGTTGTTGAAACCAGACCTGAGATCATCAAACAGCATGTTGACAAGCCGAAGAAAACTGGCTCTGACGGGCAACCAGAAACCCCTAAACAGAAGCAGGACGGCCGTCGTGAATCCAAACACAGACATGACGGCAAAACTGACAGCAGCAAAGGACACTCGGATGACAGACGGCCAGACACACCACGGCAGAGACACGAGAAGCTTTCAGACTCAGGCCACAAAGAAGAAAAGAACCACATCAGTCACAGATCCAATGTCACTCAAACCAAGATTCCAAAAACCACAAAAGAGGTGGAGCGTAACTCAAGACAGGAGGAAGACAGAACAAGAGATAAAGATAAAGATAGAGAAAAGGTTTCAGATAAAGATAGGGATATGGATAAGAATAGAGAAAAAGATAGAGATAGAGTTAAAGAAAGGGCTAAGGATAAGGATAGAGATAAAGATAAAGAAAGAAAAAGGGACAAAGACAGAGACAAAAACAGAGACAAAGAAAGGGACAGGGATAAAGACAGGGAAAGAAAAATCAAGACATTGTCAAGTGAAAACTGCAAAAGACACTCCCCTGACCTGAATAATAAACCTGACAGCGCTAGAATAAAGCAAGATGGAAGCAGAAAATCCAATGACCTCAATGGAAGACAGAGGACAGACGGTTCTAGCCTTCAAAATGCCCACCACAAGGATGAGATGAAGAGTGGTGAAGGTCAAGTCAGCTGCCAAGCGGGAAGCAAGCAGCAGTCTATGGAGACAAAAGCTAGTGAGTTCCCATCATACCTGCTGGGTGACAAGAAAGGAAGTCTGAAGAACTTCGTGATTCCTAAATTGAGCCGGGATGGGAAGGATTCTCAACATCCAAGCAAAGTGAAAGATGTCTTTTCTGAGTCCCATCTAAGCAAAGTGAAAGATGTCTTTTCTGAGTCCCATCCAAGCAAAGTGAAAGATGTCTTTTCTGAGTCCCATCCAAGCAAAGTGAAAGATGTCTTTTCTGAGTCCCATCCTAGCAAAGTGAAAGATGTCTTTTCTGAGTCCCATCCTAGCAAAGTGAAAGATGTCTTTTCTGAGTCCCATCCAAGCAAAGTGAAAGATGTCTTTTCTGAGTCCCATCCTAGCAAAGTGAAAGATGTCTTTTCTGAGTCCCATCCAAGCAAAGTGAAAGATGTCTTTTCTGAGTCCCATCCTAGCAAAGTGAAAGATGTCTTTTCTGAGTCCCATCCTAGCAAAGTGAAAGATGTCTTTTCTGAGTCCCATCCTAGCAAAGTGAAAGATGTCTTTTCTGAGTCCCATCCAAGCAAAGCGAAAGATGTCTTTACTGAGCCCCGAGTCAGGCTTGAGAGAGTGTCATTGATAAAGAACTTAAGCAAAGCAGCAAAACCTGTTGTTGTGGTTAAGAAACTCAGTATCGACGAGGTGAAAACCATCATTAAGGAAAGCAGGAACGCTCAGAGATCCAGGAACTGGTCCTCATCTGACAAATCAGGGAGAGGTATGATAAACTTTGTTTATTGAACATGTACACAAAATGGTTGGGGACCGATGCATTAATGTGCTTGAAACCAGCATCTCAACAAATATTATCAAAACAGCCCTTGATCCAAAATAATTAACTGTTTCTTTTTTAGTTGTGTCCATTACTCCCTGCTGAAATTTTACTCACTTCTTGTGCTTGCAGAGATGTCTCTTCATGAGAAGACAAACAAGAGAATGCACAGCATGATCAGTAAGAAATCCAAGTACGCTGAGGTGGACTCAGATGAAGATGGCGAAGAAGACTCTGGTGATGAGTGTCAGTTTTTGAAGCTAAAATACCACAATATTCACACACACACACACACACATACACACACACACCAGTACTATAAAATCTGTCTCCATGTTTGACAAAAAAATAGCTTTACCCAGAATGGGAAAAAAATTGAAATAAATAAAAAATGCTGCTAATATTGTTTAAATTCATAGTCTCTGTTACTGTTACTGTTACAGCTACAAGGAAAAAGCACAAGAAACATCATGACAAGACTTGGAAGGGCGAAGAGAAGAGAGGTTCAGGAGATCATCGTCACCATAATGCTCGCCGGGGGTCAGGTGGCCGTCACCGTGACTCTGATAATTCGGATGGCGGTTCTCCTCCTACAAACCTGAGTGATGGTGAGGCTTTGCTGAGCTTTCCAGTGGACATAGGCATAATAGAAGGGAACAAATAATAATAATAACTTTATTTATGTTATTATTAAATGTTGCAAACAGTGCAGAGCGTACTTCTATATTTTTTTCTATTAATATAAAAGGTTGATTTTTAGAGATCTAAATTAATCGATAACCTTAAACGATTTATACATACTACGATTTACATACAAACAGCTGCCATTTGAACCGGGGAACAACCAAACCAATTCCCTGGATAATTGAATTACTACTCCGGTCGCTCACTATTCAAATTCAGTGATTGAGCTTAAGTTGCTGCTTTCTTTGACTAATGTTGTCATGCTTGTCTCTGTTCAGTTGCCAAAAAAGTGAAGAAACAGAAACAGAAAAACAAAAAGTCGTACGAGTCCAAACTGTCACACGAAGGTATTGTTTTGCCACTTTTTATGTTTTTAAAGATTTTAATAAATTTGACATGAATTCACATTTGACTAATATTTATGTCGACATCCCTTTAACAGAGATAATGGACTCCTCCACATTTAAGAGATTCACTGCCAGTGTGGACAACATTCTTGAGAGCCTTGACGATGTGGACCTCACTAATGCAGGTAAACATCAAGTGGTGCACAAAGTCAGGTGTTCTTGACATTTATTGTTTTCTGCTGAGTTGTAAACATACAATCTATGCCCTTAAACAGATGATGATGATGAGATACCTGAAGAGCTCTTACTTGGAAAGCACCAACTGAGCGAGTTGGGCAGCGATTCTGCTAAGATGAAAGCTATGGGCGCCTTTAACAAGGTAAGAAGAACATGTCACTGCAGGTTAATACATAATATTAAGTTGTTTAAAAACTGTAAATACACCGCTGCATCGTTATGAAACATACTGTCCATTCTTTGATCCACAGTTCCCCTCTGAAAAACTGGTTAAAATCCTGAATATCCTGGAGAAAAATATTCAGGACAGTGTCAAACTTTCCACATTAATGAATCATGTAAGTGGTCAGGGCGATATTATGTTTTTACCAAAGACAGTGATTATGATTTCTTCTGCAGGTTTAGCTGTAATATGAGTTATTGTTTTTTTTTTTTTTCACGCATTTGTAGGGTAATGATTCAATGGATGAGGAGCGTCTGTGGCGTGACCTCATCATGGAGAGGGTGACCAAATCTGCTGATGCCTGCCTGACTGCCCTCAACATTATGACATCTCCAAAAATGCCAAAGGCTGTCTATATAGAGGACGTGATCGAGAGGGTGTTGCAGTACACCAAGTTCCATCTGCAAAACTCTTTGTACCCGCAGTATGACCCGGTTTACAGAGTGGGTCCCCATGGAGGTTTGTTTTGTTTATTTCTACAGAAAAAAAATCTAGATCTCCCAGAGCTATTTTTATGTGTTGAGAGTTAATCTATTTGCAAGCTGGTTGGGACATCTTGGAGTTATGCTATGAAAATCAAGTTGAAAATTAAGTTATGGTCCAAGACTTGAAGCAGTTGCGATACCTTTAGAGATTTCTGAAGACAAAGGTTTACTCTTAAATCCCTAAAGACAATTCCTGTTTGACCTGCAAACCCTAGTGGTTTAGATATCTTATAAACTGGTTATTTTCCATTCTTTCTTTCTTTCTTTCTTTCTTAGGTGGCTTGCATACTTCAAAATCCAAGAGAGCAAAAACCTCCACCCACAAACAGAAGGTGGTAGTCATGCTCTACAACAAAGTGTGTGATATTGTCAGCAACATGGCCGAGCTCCTGGAGATCCAGCTGCTGACAGACACCACTATTCTCCAGGTGAGACTGGCTTGACATACTTTCAACTTCTAAACACAGCTTAGTTTGACTGTGAAGATTCTAACACACTACACTGCCTTTGTGTCTGTCTCTTTTAGGTGTCCACTCTGGGTATCACACCATTTTTTGTGGAGAATGTCAGTGAACTGCAGTTATGTGCCATCACACTAGTAACAGCTGTAAGTCTACTACGGCATGCAGTTTTCATTTTGGGTCCGGGAGATGTGTTTAAGTGCTGCTTTATTTATTTCATGTATGCATCTACTCTCCATTTAACTCTTCCACAGGTGTTCTCACGATACGAGAAGCACAGGCAGCTCATTCTTGAAGAGGTCTTCACCTCCCTGGCTAGACTGCCTACAAGTAAACGCAGCCTCAGGAACTTCAGGTAACCTAAACAAGAGTGAATATCTGTCAAGTTATATCAAAAGAGAAGTTGATCATTCATTCCCTCTGCCATTTTCTGTAAAACTAAGGAACCTCATGTCTCCTATTTCCCCAGGCTGAACAGCAGTGATTCTGATGGAGAGCCCTTGTATATCCAGATGGTGACAGCACTGGTTTTTCAGCTCATCCAGTGTGTGGTAAACTTCCCAGAGAGGGACTCCGATGATGAGCATAGTAAAAAAGTAACTAACAAATTCAACTTATATTGAAACATGTTTATCGCTGGTGTTTTTGATTGATACTTGTTTTTACATTTTGGATTTTTTTTTCCCACAAAGGTGGACAGAGACGTTCTAATCACAAACTCTTACGAAACAGCCATGAGGACGGCTCAGAACTTCCTATCAGTGTTTCTCAAGAAGTAAGTTTAGGTTCCAATCCTCACTTCACAACACAGCATGTTTGTTTTGTCTCCCTTAAACCTCTTCTAGGTCAAACCATAATCTATAGATTTGTTCGCTTTTATCTGTAGACTGTGACCCGGGCCCCTTTTTTAAAGGTCCTATATTATGCTTTTTCTGGTTTTATATGCCCTTTAGTGTGTTTTCCAAGTGTCCTGTGCATGTTTAGGCACATCTATGTGAAAAAACTCAAAGTCCGCGGAAACGCAGCTTCTCCTACGTCCTCCTGTTAGCTGTAGCATTAGCCGCGTGTAAGGCTCGGTTCTAGCCCCCCTTGATAAAAATGTGTCAGTGCGGCGTCATTGTCAGTGTGAGATCACTGATCTGAGTCCATTGGCTCGTTGTGGCAAGACCTGCAGCTCATGTTGAAATTTCCGAGACGCATGCTGAGCAACTGACCAATAACGACAGAGCGGATCGGCAGACCAATCAGAGCAGACTTGGTCCACGTGGGGTCTAACAGTGTGGGCTCAACAGAGCGTAGCTGACGGACTCAGAGTGTAGAGGGAGCAAGGAGGAGCAGTACATGAAAACAGACACTTTTTCGGACTTTAGCTGTTGCGAACGTACAAAAGTAGGTACATAGATTAAATATACGAACCCCAAAAAGGCCATGATATGGGCTCTTTAACACTTTTTGTGGTCCTGACTAACCGGCACAAAAAGTTTTGGAACTACTTCAGTAGATAGATTCAGCCCGCAGCAACATGACACCCTGTGTGACATGGGAGTTGCCGGGCCGCTGCTACCTCGATTGATTATTTTGTTTGGATTATTTTGTGACTTTGTGTTTTAAATTGTTAGCCCAGCTACTACGCAATATTCGTGCAAAACACAATCAAATTAAGGCATCAGTAGACCAGCAACCTCTGTGTTCTGTCAGGTTTTATTGATAGAGTCTGTAAGCTTCTGAGAGCGATATAACAACTGTCTATGGTTTAACAAAAAAAAGCATTTTGCTCTTAAACAAAACGCTCTTATCGCTGTCGGAATCTTCTATAAAAACAGTCTGTAACTGATTCAGTGCTTTATAATCAATGATGCTGCATGATAAAATGTATTTAAAGTTAGTTTTCTTTTTGTTTGCAAGGTGTGGCAGTAAGCAGGGAGAGGAAGACTACAGGCCACTGTTTGAAAACTTTGTTCATGACCTGCTGTCTACAGTCAACAAGCCTGAATGGCCCGCTGCAGAACTACTGCTCAGTTTACTGGGCCGGCTGTTGGTGAGTAGCATCGTTCCTTAACAAAAATGCATCCCTCAGAATCTGTCCAATAGATTTCCAAATGATTTCTTTCTCTCTACCTTCTGTGCTCAAGGTGCACCAGTTCAGTAACAAGCAGACAGAGATGGCACTCAGGGTGGCGTCTCTCGACTACCTCGGCACTGTCGCTTCCCGCCTGCGTAAAGATGCTGTCACAAGCAAGATGGACCAAAAGGCTGTTGACCGCATCCTTAGAGAGGTAGACTACATAATTATGAAATTGTAAATTACAATCAAGCATGGCATTGAACTGCTTTTGAGATGCTCCTGGGTATTGATCTCCTCACAGAGTCCAGGCGATGATGAGACCCAACAACTCCAGAAGGCTTTGCTAGACTATCTAGATGAGAACATTGAAACAGATCCAGCTCTAGTGGTGAGTGATGTATTAGAATACACTAAGGTGTGTATTCACAAGAGTCACATTAATGATTCTTAAAGGCTTTATATGCAATTTTTTGAACCAGCAAATGTCGACCTTAAGCACCAGCATGAAACCAAAACAACTTGCGCTGCATAGTTGTGTTAGCATGCTAGCGATCTTTATTATGCTCGTATCTCTACACTGCATGTAAATTTACCCGAAATGACCGTGATCTAAAAATGCTTACGTGACATTCAATTAAGCAGTGAGTACAGTATGTTATTCTTCCTTTCTCTAGTCCCTCAATTAAACAACTTTTATACGCGAGGGGATGAGTCGGCCGGCTGTCCGGGCGATGTAAATAAACTGAAGATAGGACCCGGAAAACTCTGAAAACATCACAGACAATGGGACTCGGGTGTTACACCCATTGTAGACAGTCATGACTCACAGAGTTATTTTCAGAGGATATACTTGATTTCTATTACATTTTAGTGTGAAAAATATGAAGCCTTTAAAGGACTGTACAACTGGTTAGACACAGAAAATTAAACATGTGTCAAAGTGATATTTGTCTCAGTTGTATGCCTTTAAATTTTCTGCATTTTTCCTCACATACCTATATCTTTGTTTCATATAGTTTGCCAGGAGGTTTTATATTGCCCAGTGGTACCGGGACACTACAAGTGAGGCAGAGAAAGCCATAAAGTCTCAAAATGATGATGAGGACGTAAGAGGTCGACATTACTCCCATGATGTGGACTCAACGGCAGAGATCATGCAGAAGGCTGAGACACGAAAGAAATTCCTCCGCAAGATCATCAGGACACATCCATCCCAGTTCAGATCTCTGAAGTATGAACTACTTTACTGTCAACCACTGTACTTGTTTTGTTTTTTTTACACTATAACTTTTTGAACAGTCGTGGTCTGACATGGGCTTCTTCTTTTCTTCCAGATTAAACTCGGACACGGTGGACTATGAGGACTCCTGTCTGATTGTCAGATACCTGGCCTCCATGAGGCCCTTTTCACAGAGCTTTGATATTTATTTATCACAGGTAAGAATGTTCATTCTCAGTAAATGCAAGTTAGACGTTTTAGTTTGTTGGCGGTCACTATTTATTTCTTATATTGTCTCCCTTGCATAGATTCTGAGAGTGCTGGGTGAGAGTGCCATTGCAGTCAGAACTAAAGCCATGAAGTGTCTGTCGGAAGTAGTAGCTGTCGATCCAAGTATTTTGGGACGGGTATGTCATCCAGTATTGGCTGCTACACATCTCTAAGACTATTTGATTTATAGATGACCCCCATTGTTTTCTTTACGTTACAAAATGTTTTTGAAATTTTAATTCTAACAGGAGATTCAGTTTTATGATACCCTTTGGGCATTACCAACCATATGTTGGTTGATATAACAGTTTATCACAGCCTAACAAACAGTAAGATTTATCTATCTAACTCATGTCCCCTTCCTTATTCCCAGTTGGACATGCAGCGTGGGGTTCACTGTCGCCTCATGGACAACTCCACCAGTGTGCGAGAGGCTGCTGTGGAGCTCCTTGGTCGTTTTGTGCTAAGTCGCCCAGAGCTCATTGAGCAGTATTATGACATGCTCATAGAAAGAATATTGGTAAGTGTTTATGGTTCCCTTTTAAACATTTTAGTGTCCCGATTTTCAGGATTAAATAGATGTTTCCACATCCACTGTCCTCTCTTGAGTTTGTACAAAGTAACTGGCCAAGTGGAACTTTATCATGGACTTGAGCAAACTCTGACCTAAGAGTTCATGTATAGTGCTAAAGGTCAGCTGAGGTAAAATCGGGCTTTTCCCCACACTGCCACCTAAAGCCCATATTATGAACTGCAACCATTTCGATTTTGAATTTGAAATTTTGTTCCAAATTCCCTCACTGTTAAAGAGCTTTTTTTTTTTTTTTACATTTGTTGAAGTACCGTTGACATGAAGAAAACAGTAAATAAATAAAATGACAGAAGAAGAAAGAAAAAAAGCCTTATTAATTACTTATTAAGCCTGTTCATCTATCTTATGACTTGTTGAATGATACTTTAAAGATGTAGATCTCTCTTGCTGGTGTTTCCTAAATTACCTTGCCCAGCTTAAAGCAACTTGGTTGACCCCTCCAATTCAACTTTATGGGGTACTTAATTTTCAAATGAATAATGACTAAACAGGCACTTATATTTAGTTTATGTTGAATCATCTGTGTGTCCTTTTTTTCATTAAACAGGACACAGGTATTAGTGTAAGAAAGAGGGTCATTAAGATCTTAAGGGATATTTGCCTGGAGCAGCCGGACTTCCACAAGATCACTGAGATGTGTGTCAGGATGATCCGAAGGGTCAATGATGAAGAGGGGATCAAGGTTTGTTTTGTTTTATTTTATTCATGAATGGCGTTTGTAGTTTTATGCACAGTTTGAATACATAAAAAAATGTGTCTTTGCAGAAACTGGTGAATGAAACATTCCAAAAGCTCTGGTTCACCCCAACACCGGGTCACGACAAAGATGCCATGACCCGAAAAATCCTGAACATCACAGATGTTGTAAGTACAGTTTTCTGGCAATGTATTGCATGTAACAAAAATATTATAAAATAAAAAATAATCCATAATCTGACTAATGTCATACTTTGATTTTATTCCAGGTGTCAGCATGTAAGGATACCGGATATGACTGGTTTGAGCAGCTTCTCACAAATGTGAGTTGTTAAGTTTGTGTGTGTCTTTAAATATCTCAGGAGCAGCTCCTATCTTTATGAAAGCTGCTGTAGGAACATTTTAACTAGCATCTAACCTGACTTGTGTATGTTTGTAAACTGTTCAGCTGCTGAAATCAGAAGAGCAAGCTTCATACAAACCTGCTAAGAAGGCCTGTGTTCAGCTGGTGGACAATTTAGTGGAACACATACTGAAACACGAGGAGTCGCTTGCAGGTAATTTAAGAAAGGCAATATTATGTTTGCTTACAATATTTTTGTTAACATTGTATGCTGTGACGGATGTAACTTTTTACTCTGTTTGTATTTCAGACTGCGAAGACAAAGGGGTGAACTCAGGTCGTCTGGTATCATGCATCACCACGCTCTTCTTGTTCAGCAAGATCAGAGCACATTTGATGGTCAAACATGCCATGACTATGCAGCCCTACTTGACCACCAAGTGCAATGTAAGTACATCATTCCGATCAGTATAAGCCTGTTTCAGAGTATGAGAAATCACTCTTTGAGGATATGAAATTAACTACACAAAATATAATGTTGTGTTGTAGTGCCATCTAGTGGCAGCTAAATGAAAACACGTGTTCAGCAAAGAGAATATCACATTTTAGAGCTGAGAAAAAGGTTACAGGCAATGAACGGTTTTTATTTTTTTATCTCAGCTTTAAACTGTTTTTTTTAATTTTTTTTTATGTGTCAACATTTCAGACTCAGAATGACTTCATGGTGATATGTAACGTGGCAAAGATTCTGGAGCTTGTTGTGCCTCTGATGGAGCACCCAAGTGAGACTTTCCTTACCACCATAGAAGAAGACCTGATGAAGCTCATCATCAAACACGGCATGACGGTAGGGTCATAGAAAGCCCACAGCTGTACAGATGGATCTAAAAATAATATAAACCAAAAGAAACTACAGGCAGCAAAACTACAGGCCTAAAGATAGATATTTGATTTAATCATGTTATGTTTTGTGTCCTGTGATCAGGTTGTCCAACACTGTGTTAGCTGTCTCGGTGCAGTTGTGAATAAGGTCACACACAACTACAAGTTTGTCTGGGCTTGTTTCAACCGGTACTACGGTAAGTCACGGATATTATTATTAATTTCCAAAAATTGGCTTTGATTAATTACTGTATTTACAAAGCACTTTTAAAAAGACATATTACAAAGTGCTTTACAATTATAACAAGCAAAAGAAGAGGGGGAAAAAACATATGACAAATATTAACACATATAATTTTTCTTCTAGAATGTAACATAGATTTTACCAGCGATCCTAATAAACTATAAAATGAAAAACATGGTACATTTTTTTTATAGCAGGCTTGTAATGGATAACCTGTTAGTTCACCTTTAAATTTATGGCCACATTTTAAGCACACACTCATTTCTTCTTCTCACATCCATTTTGTAGGAGCTCTGGCAAAACTGAAAACACAGCACCAAGAGGACCCCAACAGCTCCACTCTGGCTACTAACAAACCCACTCTCCTGCGCTCACTGTTTACCGTGGGGGCTCTCTGTCGACACTTTGATTTTGACCAGGAGGAGTTCAAGGGGGCCAGCAAGGTAAACACCAACAATCTGCTCAAGCTGCTGTGACTGTGCAGACAAACTGTCGAACCGGTTTTGACTTGCTATCTCCTCTTGTGTTTTTTAGATTATCATCAAGGACAAGGTTTTGGAGCTTCTGTTGTACTTCACCACTCATGAAGATGAGGAGGTCCAGATCAAGGCCATCATAGGTCTAGGTATATTGCACCTCTTGTAATAGCTGTGTTTAAACTATTATTTATTGGTTAAAGCTCACTTGTTCTTTATATTTCCCTGTCTTTGACACAAGTTTCCTCAGCATTGACTGATTTAACCTTAATTTAAATCATTTCCATTATCTCAAGGCTTCCAGTTCATCATGCACCCAGAGCTCATGTTTGTGCAGGATGTGAAGGTTCTCTATAATGGCAACTTGTCAGATGAGAGCAGTTCGGTCAATCTGAAGATCCAGGTGTTAAAAAACCTGCAGTGTTACTTGCAAGAGGAGGACTCTCGAATGCAGGAGGCTGACCGTGAATGTAAGTTTAACAATTAGCATGTATTGTTTTACTGAGTTGCATGCGAATACACCTGTGTGTCAGGTATCAACATTGATCAGGCTCGAGCTGATGTCTTTTTTTTCTCTTTTCTTTTTCTTAACAGGGAAGAAGCAAGCCAAGCAGGAGGATCTCAAAGAATTAGGGGATGTTGCATCAGGAATGAGCAGCTCCATCATGCAGATTTACCTGAAGCAGGTGTTGGAGTCTTTCTTCCACTCACAGTCTACTGTGCGACACTTTGCCCTTAGTGTAATTACACTGACTCTCAACCAAGGTCTCATCCACCCTGTTCAGGTATGTTACATACTCAGAATGAGTGTCACACAAGTCTCAAAAATACAGGCCCTCTAACAAGCTGCATTCTCTCCTGATTCAGATTCAGAACAATTGTGTATTTCTGTTTAGTGTGTGCCCTACTTGATTGCCATGGGGACAGACCCTGAGCCAACCATGAAGAATAAGGCCGATCAGCAACTGGTGGAGATTGACAAGAAATATTCAGGCTTCATTCATGTGAGTGTTTCACCACACTCGACACTGAACGCTACATGGAAGGAACAGGCACACTCAAAAAAACAGTTGTATTTCTTTATTAACATGCTTTGTTTCATAAATTAAAACAAACAGACTCTCTGCATGTCCAGTAGAGGACTGCAGTCCACTCTTTGATCAAAGACTTTGCAGGTCTTATTACTACTGGTCAAAAAAAGAGTCCATTCTGATGTCCTTGTTTACATTTATTCTTCACTGAAGACAAATGGAACACTGTGAAAACTAGAAAAGAACAAGACAATACACAGGTTAAGCTCAAGTTTAACATGACCTGGTTCAAACTTTATTGACCAGTACAACGTAACAAGGAGAAAATAGGCTTAATAACTTCCCTGTGTTGTCATGTCAACATATCCATTCTGTGAAAGCCACAGATATTATTATTCATTTCCAAAAATTGGCTTTGATTAATTACTGTATTTTTTTAAAGCACTTTTAAAAAGACATGTTACAAAGTGCGTTACAATTATAACAAGCAAAAAAAGAGGAGGGGAAAACCATATGACAAATAATAACACAAATGATTTGTCAAATAAACAGCCATTTGAAATGATAAAAGTGAGTTATAAGAAGCGATAGATGAACAGATGACTTTTTCTAAGTCACCAGGAGAAAGGAATGACCTGATTTGAGTTAGTTGTCTTAGTTGAGCAAAGCAGGACTAAATCACTTTGGTCACCTGGGAATCAAAAGAATTGTTGTCAACGTCATCTGTGTACTAGCTGACTTCTTTGTCTCTGTGCATTCACAGATGAAGGCTGTAGCAGGACTGAAGATGTCTTACCAGGTGCAACAGGCCATAAATGGATCCAAAGGCAAAGTTGTTCGAGGTTTTCGCCCTGAAGACTCAGACGCTGCACTTTGCTCTCACCTCTACTCTTTGGTCCGTGGGAACCGACAACACAGACGGGCATTCCTCATTTCCCTGCTCAACCTGTTTGATGACAGCTCTGTAAGTGCAACTCTCCCCCACATTTGTTTCGTTGTCAAACTGCACAGATCCTCCATTGCACATTTTGTGTTTCTTATATTTTTACATTTTTAAATTGTATGATACATTGTAATAGCTTCCATATTGCATTATTGAAGTTCTTGCTATTTTCACGTTATTTACTTTACCTGTTTCTTGCACCAATACACCAAGTCAAAAACCGATTCTGATAACTTATCTTCTCATTCTATACGTTTAAACATCTAAATTACTGCTTGTGAATGGTTTGTTTTAGTAATGATGTTCTACTATTTTTCTTTTGCAGAAAACAGAGGTGAACATGCTGTTGTTCATAGCAGACAACCTGGCCTGCTTCCCGTACCAGACCCAGGAGGAGCCTCTTTTCATCATGCACCATGTAGATATTACTCTGTCCGTCTCTGGTAGCAACCTGCTCCAGTCTTTCAAGGAGGTGAGAAGCTTTGTTTGTGTAAAAATTAAGATGTTTTGTATCATGAAATTGTGTTTTACATCCATTGTATATCTGGTCTGTGTTTATATTTATTTCTTTTATCTGTGTAGTCTTTGAGGAAAGGACATGTGCAGCAGGAAAAGAAAATGAAGACAAAGAAGAAGAAAAAGAACAAGAAGAAGAAGAAGAAGAAGCAATCTCATAGGAGGAAACACAGCTCTGATGATGAGGAGGATGAGGAGAGCAGTAGCAGCTCCAGCAGCAGCAGCAGCAGCAGCAGCAGCAGTAGCAGCAGTAGTAGCAGTGAGGAGGAGGTGGTGGTCGAAAAGAAAAAGAAATCTGGGGCTGCTGATTCTGACTCTGACCTGGATGATGAGGAAGCAGTGATGCTCCGTCTTCCTGAAAACCCGGTCCCTCTGCTGGACTTTGCCAGTGCTTCGCAGGGAATTCTGCTGCTGCTGGTGCTCAAGCAGCATCTGAAGAATCTGTACGGCTTCTCAGACAGGTAGGCCAAGTCGAATGTGAGAGTTTTGACTCCTTTCATTAGTAGTGCAGTTGTTTGCATGACTGAACTGACCTCTATCTTGTTTATTCACAGCAAAATCCAGAAATACTCACCAACCGAGTCTGCTAAAGTGTATGACAAAACAGTGAACAGGAAATCTAAGGTGCACTTCAATCCTCGTCAGACACTGGAGTACCTGAAGAGCGATTTATCGAACATGGAGCTCAGTCGCGATACCAAGAGGAATATTGTGAAACAGTATTTGGACGTAAGCATTCAGGGCTTCTGCTTTAGTTTATTCATGTGTTATTTCTGTCCCTGAAATTTCGATAAAGAAATTGGTCTAAAAGCCACTGAGCTACATCTGCTAAATGAAATATCTAAACATTGGCTGGGAATATTCACAAAAAACTCTTGAACTGAAGCTCCTCCTGTTATTATCACTTAGTTCAAGGTTCTGATGGAGCACTTGGACCGTGAAGAAGAAGACGAACAGGGTGAAGCAAGTGCCAATGCCAGAAACAAAGCCATTACTTCACTGCTGAAGGGCCCCAAGTCCTTGAACCACAACCACAATAATCACGCGGCTCCAGTGGAGAGTGATGATGAGGAGAGTGAGGACGAAGAGCCCCCTGTGGTAAGAATCTAAAACTGTTTCGGCAGTTGTAACCCAAAAGGTTTCAATGTTAACCTTTAAAAAACGGTTTTGAAACTGGTTACACTGTGCATTATCGACTTTATGTAGACCTCCCAATAGTAATAAAATACTGCTATTACATCAATTTAAAATGTGTGTAACTTTGAGTTATGCATCTCAGATACATTTTGAATGATTCTTTAACATCATGGGTTCATAAAGCCACGCTCTGTACTTACCAAGGGTTGTTTAAAACCTTTTAAAATATATATAGTGTGCAATAAGTTTGCATCAGTTGGGTACGCAACATATGCAATAGTTCGCCTCATACTTTGGAAAGCAGAAATTGTTTGTTGGGCTTCATGGATGCTTCCTGTGTATATAAAAAAAAAGTTTGTTCATGACGGAGACTCTCTGCTTCTTCTTTCTGCAGCGGAAACCAAAAAAGGGTGGGGATTCTGCCGAGGATTCAGGTCACATGAACGAGAAAGTGGAGGCCATGGACGTCATTGCCATCTGCCGTCCCAAATACAAAGACAGACCACAGATTGCCAAGGTCATCCAGAAGACCAAAAATGGCTACAGTATACACTGGATGACTGGAACTTACTCTGGGCCCTGGACTGTGGCAAAGAAACGAGACGGTCGCAAAAAGGTGCCTTGGGTTGACACGATCAAGGAGTCAGACATTATTTACAAGAAAATCTCCTTGACGAGTGGACAGAAGCTGTCGAACAAAGTGGCACAGACGTTACGGGCTCTTTATGCTGCTAAAGAGGGGAATTAGATTTAAACGACTGAAATATCTCAGATGGAAACCCCAGCCCAAATCTATGGGGATCTGATATGTTACAGAGAGAAAATGAAGCCTGTTTAGATTTGAGAAGTATTGTGAACACTGGTCTGTTTGAATACAGACATGTTTAACTTTAACACAAGAAAAAAAGAAGGAAATGTTTGGGGGGAAAACATTGTGTGGGAATTCCTTCGCTGTTGTGCAGCAACTTTGTTGTTTGATTTTTACTCCCACTGTATCATAGTTTAACTACACACATGTTTATATCTGAACATAATTCTGTAAAAAGTAAACTGAATGTTGGAAATTAGTGTATGATGTTCTTAATAAAGTGTTTTCGGAGTTTAAACTAGCACCAGCTGGTTGTATTCACTTGACCTGAGCTCCAACAACTATTAATCTTCTTTCCTTTTCTTGTTCAATACATTTTGTTGTTCACCAACACTGTGTAACGGAGTATCTTTGATATAATTTATTTATGTTAAGAGCAGTGCAGTATCTGTGCCTATATGCAGGGGAAGTTGTTTTTAATAATAGATTTTGATGTTATAGAACACAGAACAAGAAAAAAAAGTGATTCACCGCTCTTCTGTTTCAACAAATACTGCAATAAATTTTCCTATGTCTTTGTTACTTGTTTGTGCTTTTTTCATCCCCTATCAAAATGTGTTGTTTCATCTTCATTTGTTTGCTTGTTCTGTGCCATCGTTAACTTATATGCAGCTGGACTCAATAGAAAGTGGTGCAAAGTTTCCTATTTTTACCTAACATTTCATAACTTTTACCGTAATCTAATTTTACACCATGTGACATGCTATTTAAAATTACGAATTATATTTTAAATCTTGAAAAATATAAAAAGGGACCTAAGGGTTTGCAAATTTGCACTTACATTTAATTTATATATCACATACTGTATATAAGGTACTTAAATAGAATAGAATAGAATTACTTTATTGATCCCAAACTGGGAAATTGTGGTGTTACAGCAGCAGGTTATCCAACACACAATATGAGTAAAAAACACAATGTTAGCAAATCTAAACACAATATAAGATTAAATACAAAGTAAATAAGTACTAAAAAATATCAGAACTAAGAATGTGAATATATACAACCAGGATTTCACTAAGCATTACTAGTCTTAAATAGGAAGATTAAATATGAAAGATTAAATGTAAATGTGCAAAAAACAGAGTAGTAAATGGACAGTATTGACATAAGTTAAAAGTGCATGAGTGTAGACATATTATAAGCAGAAACTATACAATATAACGGCGAGTAGACAGCCAAATGAAGTGAACATGAGTGCAGGGATAATGTGTAAATTTAACATGTGCAGAACAGATTACAGTATTAAATATTTATTTTCATCTATAAACAATAACAAAATACATTTATCTTAACAGATTTTCAATTTGCAAAAGGTTATAAAATTATACATGTATATGCATCTAAAAGAGCTTTTGACTGCAATGCCGGTGGCAAACTTTCATTATACTTCGCTTCATTTCTGTGTGACCGATAGGTGGCAACAAAACAGCTCACTGCACAAAGTCACGGACGGCGAAGAAGAAGAAGAAGCTTACCGGAAGCAAATCTTTCACCTCTGCCGCTGTGCATGAGGTTGGCGGGCTGCTAGTTTTGTTGTATTTGTTCAAATTTTTCTGCGGAACAGGAGTACAAAACTTTTTCCCCCCCAAAAAAACAAAACTCAGTATCACGTGGACCCCTTTCAGTCTGGTAAAGCTACGCATCGATTCACGAACACTTTTATTTCACACTTTTGTTTACCTTTTAGTTCGCTTGTAAAAAAAAAAAAAGAAAAGAGGATTCAATGCTAGCAGTCGGCTAACTGACCGGTATTACACCAGCTAACATTAGCTACAGAGGGTTACAGAGGCATTTGTAGTTGAGGGTTGTCTACTTGTCTCACTCTGCTGTTGCTGAACCTTTTTTTTTTAATATTTGTAGATAAGTGAGCGGTGGTAGCGCAGCCATGCCGTCCAGCGCTGGTCCCAGCAGCCCCGCCGCTGTTCTCGCTGAAGCTCTGGAAAACTCTTCCCGGCTCATTGACAGACACCTGCAGGATGACCGTCTCTTCCCCGACCTGTCGGAGCTGCTCAGCGTCCCCGCTCACAGTAAGCAGCAGAACAAGGCCTACTAATTAAACCACCAACTCAAGTGCTTCTACTCACATTAGCTTTTACTTATCGAACTACGAACAGTAGAGTAAAGTGGAAGGATGGTTTACCAAAACTTTGGAACAAATACAAAGTTGGAAAGCATCCATCGTCGCTTTCAATTGTTGTTTACACACACGTATAGGAAATGCACAAGAGGAGTGCATCAATCAATCTCGAGACACTTTACAAAGCAGGTACTCTTTGTACCCTTACTCTTTGTCTGTCAACATTACAAAAGAGCAGGTAAATGGAAAATGGACTTGAGCTTATATAGCGTTTTTCTAGTCTTCCAACCACTCAAAGCACTTTTACACCACATGTCACACCCACCTATTCACACCCTTTCACACAGTGATGGTAGTGATGATCGGTGTGTAGTATCATCCATCAGAAGTAACTAATCCCATTCGTACACCACCACCGAAGCAGCGGGAGCAATTTGGGGTTAAGTGTCCAAGGACGCATCGGACATTTGGCCAGCTGGGGATCGAACCCTCGACCTTCCGGTTGAGAAGCGACGACTCTACCAATCGAGCCACTGCCGCCCGCAGTGACCTTATGTATTGTTATGTTACAAAAGAGCAGGTAAAAGACCTTACTCATTGTTATCTTACAAAAAGCAGGTAAAAGACCTTACTCATTGTTATGTTACAAAAAGCAGGTAAAAGACCTTACTTATTGTTATGGTACAAAAAGCAGGTAAAAGACCTTACTTATTGTTATGTTACAAAAAGCAGGTAAAAGACCTTACTCATTGTTATGTTACAAAAAGCAGGTAAAAGACCTTACTTATTGTTATGGTACAAAAAGCAGGTAAAAGACCATACTTATTGTTATGTTACAAAAAGCAGGTAAAAGACCTTACTCATTGTTATGTTACAAAAGAGCAGGTAAAAGACCTTACTTATTGCTATATTACAAAGATGGTCTATCCATCATGAGCACTTTAGCAAAGCAGTCAAAAGTTACCGTGGTAAGAAAAAAACTGTCTTATTAAAAGGCAGAACTCTTCAGCTGGATCCCCGGCTCATGACCGAAACAGCCTTCACAGGCCTAGACTGCGCCGGGCTTGGAAAGGGATAGGGGGGGAGAGATGGGATAAGATGCAGGAAGAGGGATAGGGAGCAAGGGGGTGGGGTGGGGTGGGGGGAGGCAAGCCGTCCATCAACAATCTGGTGGGGAGGGGGGTTGTCCTGGCAGGCCGTCCAATGCATGAGATGTGAGATACTGTATGTTTTGAAAAAGCATGTAATTGGGGACATTCACAGTCTGAGAGCTGTAATGCATCAAAAGAAAAGGTGATGCACAAAGCAAAACTTCTTTCAATGCTATATCAAAGCTCACATCAAAACTTAGCTATCAAGATTCCCACTTGTTTGTGAATGGAGAAGGACCTGTTGTTTCTTGTGTTTTGTAGATATGCCGTCCCTCTCTGGAGTGTCAGACATGGACTACCCGCTCCAGGGACCTGGTTTAATCAGTGTGCCAAACCTCCCAGAGCTCAGTGCAGTCCGCCGAGTCCCCCTGCCACCTGAGCTGGTGGAGCAGTTCAGCCGTATCCTTTGCCCATTCAGGAAAATAAAGTTGAATGCTTGCAGGAGGACTAAGAGGTTGCCCTGAGACTAAAAGCATCTGTCTGTGATTATCTTTGATTTGAGTTTCAACTTAACCGTTTACAACCCAGATATGCAATGTAACTGCATGATGGGAGTTTTTCCTGAGATTTGTCGAGCATGGCTTACTATTGATAACGACATCTTCATGTGGAATTATGAAGATGGGTAAGTACATCAAGCTTATGTGATGATGCTGTGTGACAACGTTTGATATAAGTGATTAGGTATTTATTTATTTCGGCTTTAATCTTTGCAGTGGAGATGTTGCCTATTTTGATGGCCTTATTGAAACCATATTGGCAGTGGGCCTTGTAAAACCAAAACAAGGTATGTGTGAACCCTTAAAATCAACATTGGTTATTGTCAAACCACTCATTTGAAGTAATGTTGTTTATAGTTGCGTTTTTTCTTTTCAGGGATTTTACAGCCACACATTCACTACCTCTTGGTACTGGCCACTTCTGTGGATGTTGTGATCCTCGGACTGAGCTTCCCCAAGAGCCAGGCTGGTGAGTCCCTCCTACAGCTCTATTACAGTGACATTTGAGTTTTTCCTGTGGAAGTTATCACGTTAATGTCGGAAAGACAATTTATCCTGATGCTTCTCTGTTTGCAGGTTAACTGAAATGTAAAGTCATTACTCCAGAAACTCTGCCAAATTTTGTAATTCGATAAGAATATCATCCTGCACTTCAGTAAACTATGTTTTAAAGCTGCGAGAGACACACAAAACATGGCAGCCTGAAGCTAAATATATTGCTGCTTGTGCATTTCAATGTGACAAATAGGTGTAAGGTATGCATAACTTGTGAAGGTGGTCAAGCGAGCAAGTACTTACTTTATTATTATTATTATTAACCTTTATTTAACCAGATAAAGAACCCATTGAGATCAGGATCTCTTTCACAAAGGTGACCTGGCCAAGAGGTCAGCAGCACATGTCAAAAGAACAGTTACAATTAAGTGACAGTACAGCTTAACAACATAGTATTTTCAATAAAAAGAAAGTGTGGCTGCTGTGACACAACAATTAAACAACAATTTAAGATTTTAAAAACACAGGCACTGTTCAATGGTCTCACGTTGTCTGTCCCTCAAGATAGAACGGAACGCTCCAAGTGGAATAAGTTCAGGGAGTTTTAAATCAGTCTGTAGACTATTCTATGCCGAGGGGGCAGCAAAGCTGAAAGCTCTTTTTCCTAATTCAGTCCTTACCCAAGGAACAGATAGAACAAGTGTAGTACAGGAACGCAAGGCATAGCGACTGCTTGTTCTCCGCAAATAAAGCACACAAATGTAAAAGAATCAAGCCTAAATGAGCCTTATGAATTAGGGTCAGCCAATGTGCGTATCTGCGTGCACTCAAAGAAGGCAAGTTCGATTTCAAATACAATTCACAATGGTGGGTGAGACGATTACAGCCAGTGACAAATCTCAGTGTTGAATGAAACATAGTGTCCAAGGACTTGAGACATTTGGATGACGCACTCAAATAAAGCACGTCCCCATAATCAAGAATGGGCAAGTTTACCAGGACATTGGGAAATTTGAACTGTTTCACTATAGACATCCCTATTGTTAAGAAGCGCATTGATTGATAAGTGCTGTTTATAACTGATGAAGTATTTGTACAGGTATCTGTTGTTTTGATTGCAAGAGTGTTCCTTTGTGGGGATGTCTGCCTCATCTGTCTTCCTCTTGTTTTAGGCTTGAACGACAGCATGTCAGGGGGGATGCAGCTTCTTCCAGACCCCCTTTTCTCGATCCCCACAGACAACACCTACATCCTTTCCATCACCTCTACCGACCTGGGACGCATCTTTATGGCGGGAAAAGATGGCTGCCTCTATGAGATCGCTTACCAGGCAGAGGCAGGATGGCTGAGTCAGCGCTGCAGAAAAATCAACCACTCCAAAAGCTCTCTGTCCTTCCTCGTCCCCTCCGTGCTCCAGTTCTCCTTCTCTGAAGATGGTGAGGAGGGGGACACATTTCCAGCTGGAGTGTTAAATGTCCTTGATTTGATTAAGCGTCCCTCTAATTTGTCTTGTCCTTGTTCTCTACAGACCCCATCGTGCAGATTGCTATTGACAACTCACGCAACACACTTTTCACACGCTCTGAGAAAGATGTCCTGCAGGTATGTTTTTCAGTAATTTTCATGATTGTTTCAGATTTTTGAGTAATCTGTAGGGATTGATTCTGCGGTAAAATGATCTACAATGTCTCTTATTGTTAGGTGTATGACCTGGGGGCTGATGGACAGGGTATGAGTCGTGTCGCAACCATGTCTCAGAGCACCATCGTTGCTGCTGCTGGAAACATAGCCAGGTATGCTATGGTTTGTAGAAACTTAAAAATGTGTCTCCTGTCAATCACCCTAATAGAAGAGTCATATTAATTTCTGTCTCTCTGAAACCTTCCTCTGCAGGACAATTGACCGTTCTGTCTTCAAACCCATCGTCCAGATCTCTGTGATTGACAGAGCTGAGTCCTCAGACTGTCACTTGCTTGCTGTAACTCATGCAGGTAAATACAGTTACACATTTCTGAAGTGGAGTAAAAACAGGGAAATCTTCAGCTTATTTGCAATATCAAATAAATGAATCCACCTCATCATGTATGGATTGTACTTTATGTGTGCCTCAACATGTTCTGTTTCTGTAGGTGTTCGTCTCTACTTCAGCACCACACCTTTTGCCCCTCCACTCCAGAAGCATTTGGCAGTTCGGCCTTGCTTGCTAGCTTTGGTCCATGTCCGTTTGCCACCTGGTTTTTCTGCATCCTCTACCCTGCAGAAACCGGCAAAGGTCCATAAGGCACTACATAGCAAAGGTATAACCAGAATTTTTTGGGTTTACAAGCAATATCCGAAAAAAAAAAAAAGAATCAAAGACTATACATACTTGCAGTGCTACTGTGATGATTTTGTAGATTTCCTTTAATACGCTCTGTTTTTTAATCTTGCAGGCATTCTGTTGATGGCTGCTTCTGAGATGGAGGATAGTGACGTGCTGTGGTGCATCAACCATGACTCCTTCCCCTTCAAGAAACCTTTGATGGAAACTCAGGTTGGCAAACATGAACAGTACAAAACATTGATTTAAATCTTTGTCACTTCAGGTGTATCATTACCATTAGTGTTAGCTTGTTTACACAGATCCAAACACACAAAAATAGGGCTCACTTCTCTTTTGTGTTTATTTGCAGATGATGTCTAATGCAGATGGACACACTTGGGCTATTTGTGCCCTGAATGAGGAGAGGCCGGGCAAGATTTTCACTCCCCTGAACAAGGACCACATCCCCATCACAGATTCCCCTGTGGTGGTGCAGCAGCATAATATCCCTCCACAGAAGTTTGTCCTTCTCTCTGCAAAGGTTATAACTGCTGTCTTCATGCTGCAAATGTAGAGTAGAGTATTGATATATAGTGAGACACAAAGGTGACTTAGCTATGTATGCTAATTTTAGACTCTATACTGTCCTTTAGGGGAGCCATATCTTCCAAAAACTGCGTCCAGTCGACCAGCTGCGCCACCTGCTGGTGAGCTGTGCAGGAGGAGAAAGTGAAGACGTTGAACGCTTTTTCAAGCTGCACAGGGTACAAGACATGTACATCTCTGTTGATTGTCTTATTATTGCATTTACAGTATACACAAATATATTGAAGTTGTTAATTCATTCTACACAGGAGGAGCAGGCTTGTGCAACAGCACTGATTCTGGCCTGTTCCAGCGCTGCAAGTGACAGAGAGGTTTCACAGTGGGCCACAAGAGCCTTCTTCAGGTCAGATAACTTTATCAATATGCTCACAGGTTTAAACAAACTCATACTCTCTGCAAACTAAAAGCAGCCCCTCTGTTATTGTCATGATTAGGTATGGAGGGGAAGCACAGATGAGATTCCCCGCAGCCTTGACATCTCCCAGTACAGTTGGACCTGTGATGAGCTCTCCTGCACCAGGTAGATAGTTGAGTACTGTCCACCTGGCCCGGGAAGAGTTATACAAATAACCCCACCAGCTGTGAAATTGTCAAGAGCCTCATAAATGCAATAACCAATCAATGTCTGTACAAAGTGACTAATCACTTAACATGAAATAAATCCAAACTGTATTGTAAACTCTTTTAGAACATTGCCTTTGATAATACTAGCGCTAAATGTGATCGTGGATCTTTGTTGCTTTTGTTTCTCTCCCTAAGGCATTGTGCCCCCAGCTTTTGCCACCCCGTTTGCCCCCATGCACACTGGATCTGTCCCCATCACACCCATGTCTGCCAGCCCAGAGGTGATTTTCTCAGGGAAACACAGCGGCATCTGTGTCTACTTTGCTCGCATACTTGGGTGAGTAAATCCTGCAATGTTTTGTCACATTAACACATTTTTATTCTTTGGGAGCATAAAAATGTATCACTTTTGTCAATTTGAAGTGTGATGGTGTTGTCCGTACTAAACATGCCTTCCTCTCTTGTTCTCTGCTCACCACACGCTAACAGAAATATTTGGGATGGCAGCCTTGCTGTTGAGAAAACAATAAGCAAAGGAAACCAGACTGTCAACATTGTGAGTATCACACTCACACTAACCCTACACCAAGCATTTATTTAAAACTTAATGGTGACTTCAGTTCATAGGTGTTTCAAATGATGTTAGCAGCCATACATTAATTACTCTCATCTTTTGTCCCCGCAGTTGGAAAGCAGCGTTGGTTTGTTTGATCTGGAGTCGGTGCTCCATGAGCTCTGCGGTTTGAGAGAGTTTGTTGATAAAAACTCTCAGTTCAGTCCGTCCTCTCTCGGTGTTACAAGGTAAGAGCTCTTCTGCTCTTCAGTTAAATTAATCAGTTTGCTGATGACTTAACCTAATTGTTTTAAAACAACCATCAGCAAACAAGCTTCCTTATCAGAAAATCAATGGCTACAAATTTAAGGGTTAATTAAAAATCATCCGTTAATTTAACAGCGAAGTACCTGCCATGACCTGAGTAGTTTAACTGATGACTTCATGTTTAACTTGGACTGTATACCTCTGTTGAGGGGCAATCCAGCTGGTTACTGCATGATAAAAAGAGACACGACGAGATGTAACAGAGAAAAGACTTGTTTTAAACAAAGTAACCAAACACAATGAAATAGCAACACTTTACAACATGTTCCTGTGTGAAAGACTGTGACAAACTCGCCTAACATATGTTATTATTATATGGACTTCTAATTATGCTGCTGAGCAGAAATACTAATATATTTTCTAATTTTGTATTTTTTTCACTTTGCAATGTTTTTGAGTAGCGTCACATTGAAGTGGAACCATGTCTAAAAAAACATCTGGTGTTACCCAGTCCTCATGACTAACATCTGTTTTCCTCCCTGTTAGTTTTAGCTCTCCTGCCAACTTGCAGCAAAGGCTGCTTGGATTTATGCGCCCTGATGGAGCCAACTCACAGCAGGTCCAACAGGAGCTCCAGAGGAAATATCACAGTGAGTTATGAGTGCAGGTTTTATTGTTATGCTGGTCATGAGAGATTAGTATTCCAAATACGTATTCGTGATGAAATGTCTCATGTTTAACAAAATAAGAGTTGATGTGGTTTTCTGATGTACCAAAAGTCTTTATTTCTTTATATTCCTGTAACTCTATTCTCTTTGTGTTTGTGTCTCTTATCCAGCCAACGCTCAGGTGTATGAGAAAGTGTCCCTGCAGGGCATCCAGCAGTTGGTGCATCGCTCCTATCAGACACTGGCCCTCTGGAAGCTTCTCTGCGATCATCAGTTCAGCCTCATTATGTCTGAGCTGCCAAAGGTACATGTGTGCACAAACATTGCTTTGCTGCATGTAATGAATATATCATCTTTTTGTTTACAGCCAAATTACCATGTCCACAATATCATGTCTCATTGATCGCTCTGCATATTTTATTCATTTGTAGGAGTTTCAAGAGCAGATGAAAGGAGCCAGTTTTAAAGATGTAGTGATCCGGGGTAAAGAGCTGTCTGGAGCACTCATCACAGCACTCATCAACGTCTACATCAAAGATAACGCCTCTGTGGACGGCATCAGCAATCACATGCGAGACATCTGTCCCCTGCTTTACAGCAGCGATGACAACGTTTGCTCAAAGGTACAAACATGCAGCCTTTTGAGTTCATACTGAGTACTGAAAAAAAATGAAATTCTATGAGCTTAATAATTGTAGATCAAGTAGAATGTGTCAGTCTATTATAGGTTCAGAGGTCTGCCATTCCTGTTGTATTCGAGCTTCACATTTCTTGCTGTCTTCAGGATAACTTTGCATCAAGAACATTAAAAGGCGTCAATTAAACCTCATTGATTTATGTGTCTTAATGTTGGATTTGTTGCCTTTATCTCCCACTTAGGCTAATGAGTTGCTGCAGAACTCAAAGCAGATTCAGAATAAAGCAGATAAGGAGAGAAAACTGAGGGAGTCTCTACAGCTCTATCAGCAGATCAGCCAACACACAGACCTGCCGCTGGTCTGCTCCCAGTACAGACAAGGTGAGGACGCACAAGACCCCCCTCCAATTTTGTATTTTTATAGCGGATATGTTATTTTAAAAAAAGCATACTAATGTTTAAAAATTGCCTTAGTGCGTTTCTACGAGGGAGTCCTTGAGTTGTGCCTCACAGCAGCAGACAAGAAGGATCCACAGAGGCTGGGACCCCATTTCTACAAGAACGGAGAGCCTGAGGATGACAGAGTGGGACAGCAGGCCTTCCAGGAGAGGTAACACAAAAGCAGCAGTACACAAATCTGTGTCATTGATAGCTATTGAAGTCCATTGTTACCAATATTTTTTCTTCCCCTTCTCTCTCTGCACCAGACTTTGTTGTTATAAGTGCATCACAGACACCATGCAGGAGCTGGTGAACCAGAGCAAAGCAGCCCCTCAGTCCCCAAGCGTGCCTAAGCAGCCTGGGCCTCCTGTCATGACCTCTGATCCCAACATGCTCAGCAACGAGGAAGCCACTGCCCATGTAAGAAAGGAGGGAACAGCTGGTGCTTGTTTTGTGACAGCAGTGTGCACGATCTGCATTATTAATGAAAATATGTCGCTCCCTTTGTAGTTTGAGCAGATCCTCGGTCTGGCCCAGAGGTCTCAGGACGAGCTGTTTCACATCGCTCTGTACAACTGGCTGATTCAGGCTGACCTGACTGACAAGCTGCTGGAGGTAGTGTGTCTTGATTTATGCTTCTTTTTTTCAAACCTACATACTTTTCAAATGATTATAATCCAGACTTTAGGGTTTCCTCACCAACAGGTTGTAGTGTTTTTTATGAATGACTTTTTAAGGGTGTTCATAAGAAATGTGAAGAAGTAGAAGAAAAATCACATCAAGTTCCTCAAAATAATAATAAAAACATTATAGTGCACATTTTATTATGCAAGTAAACTTGGATTCTTTAAGTTGTTTTATTTTCTGCATATTCTTTTGGTTCTGTTTAGCCATAGTAAACATGCTGTATCAACCTTGTTAGTGAGATCACATTGCATCTTTCTTTGCCTTTGTTCTCCAGGTGAATTCTCCGTACTTGGAGGAACACCTGATGCATATGATCAAGCAGGACCAGAGTAAGGTCCACAATATGGACCTGCTGTGGCGCTACTACGAGAAGAACCGTAACTTCGGCAAGGCAGCTCATGTGCTGGCCCGTCTCGCTGACATGCACAGGTGCAGACACGATGTTCAACTGTGGTACATTGATGTATTTAACATACTGTATCTTTTTTTGGGGCTATCTAGTTACCAAATATGCATGACTCTATGTAATGTTTTCAATAAAGGTATGCTAATATTGTTTTTTTTGTTTTTTTTACAACCATGCAGCACTGAGATCTCATTGAAGCAGCGTTTGGAGTACATCGCCCGAGCCATCCTGTCCGCAAAGAGTTCCTCCTGCATCTCAGCTCAGGCGTCCGATGGAGAGTTTCTTCACGAGTTGGAAGAAAAGATGGAGGTGCGTATGCATGGTCATCAAAGAGAAAGATATCTTGGCCTGATCCATCAAAAAACAAGTTATTTAACCATTCTGTTTGTGTATTTTTCCCTCTCGTTAGCTGGTGCGCATCCAAGTACAGATTCAGGAGACCCTAATAAGACAGTACTCCCATCATCCCTCAGTGAAAAATGTCATCTCTCAGTTGGACTCTGAGCTCATGGACATCACCAAGGTAACGCATGCAGAAATTACCAACCAGGAGTGACAATTTTCAGTAATTTTCTTTTCAGTGGCGGGGTAATCTTAATGCAAGCTGAATCATGTCCTCCTGTGCAGCTCTATGGGGAATTTGCTGACCATTTCAAACTGTCTGAGTGCAAGCTGGCCATCATTCACTGCGCAGGACACTCTGACCCCATCCTGGTGCACTCGCTGTGGCAGGAGATCATGGAGAAAGGCAAGTGAAATGTCAACACCTCCGCATGTTGTTTGTGTATTGTTCAGCCATGGCCAAACCTTTTTAACAGCTCCCTTTCCTCGCCATATGGGATGTTGGTTTCAGTGATGATTTTTATGTCTTGTCTAGAACTCGGAGACTCAGTGGCCATGAGTCCAATAGACAGGATGAGGTCCCTCAGTTTGAAATTGGTCTCGCTGGGAAAGATTTACGCTGCAACGCCAAGATATTTCCCTCTGGGTGAGCATTTACGCCTTCCTGTAATTATGTTCAGTTTTCCACTCGTTAGAAATTTCCACCTCACTGTTTTCAACTTTAATAACAGTAATATAATTAGACTTCCCCTTTGCATCATTTATGTCGGCATGACTCTGAGGTGCTGGTCTGCTGGGTGGTGCTGGTGTTCAAATGATTGCTTGATTATCCTCCCATTAACACCAGCCTGTTCAAACTTGTGCTCTGTATGGAAACTGATTTTTATTTATTTTTTTATCAGCAATGAACAAATTGACGAGTTATGCATTTCTAAAAATTGCTGTTGTGTCTTGTGATTGTAGAGTTCCTTGTAAAATTTCTGGAAAAGGAAGGGTGCCAACTGAACTGGGATGTGGGCTTTGTCACCTCCACCATGCAGGAGATCGGAGTACAGCTACCTCGTCTTCTGGAGGTCTATGACCAGCTCTTCAAAACCAGGGTGAATGTTAAAAAATATGTACTTCAGTCATCACTGTCAGTTTTTTTTATTTGAAGGACTTATAAGCAGCATTGGGAACCTCTTTCGATTGACTATTACGTTTTTTATTTAAATCATAATTTAGTTTATCAACCTCTCGTCCTTTAGGATCCATGTTGGCAGCGACTGAAGAAGCCTTTGCACCTGGTGGAGTGTATCCACGTGCTTCTGTCAGGATACGTGGATGATCCCAGCAGAGTACCAACCTATGACAGGTAAGCACTGTGTAGCCGTTTTCCACAAATGCACTTCTGAAAAATTCTAGAGAATTAAAATCCTGAAGCAAAACAGGACGTAGAAAGAACAGCGTGGAATTGGCAGACGAAGCAACGGAGTCTGCTGAACGACGCTGTAAAGAGAATACTTTCCTTTATATGAACGCTACGTGTAATTCAACTGAATCACAATATCACCAAAAGAGCTGAACATACTGGCAAAGAGAAAACGTTATGCAGCAGTTTTATTACGTGCACAGAGATCATTTTGGTCATGTTGATCACTAGGGCAGGAGAAAGTTTGAGTTGACACATGCAATTTACCCCGAAATACTTGAGTAGTTTTGTCTGTGAAAGCACCTTATCAGTAGCTGCTTAGTTCCTGTCCTGTAGTAGGCACTCTAGTGTTCACAGAGCATATGAGCTACAATTTATATCCCTCAAAAAAAAAAGTTGAATCCTGCTTCAGTGTCAAAAAGCAGGGCCGGAACATCCCTCTGCTTGCACACTTCATTGTAAGCTGCCTTAGATGAAGTCCTTAACTGGTGTACTTAATAATGTTGTTGGATGAAATCTTCTAATCCTGGTTATTTTGATGAAAGACAACATTTCTTTAATAACCATATTTCCTGTGAGAACAGCAGAATTAATCCCAATGAGATTACGCTGTGAGATTTCTTGGTAATGCATCATGTTTGTCAATCACTGCAGCTACATTCAGGCTGTAAATCACACAGAAGGGCAGACAAATAACACACAATATCCTCCTAAGCTTGATTCTAAATGTTCCTGTCATGTGGATTTCTGTGATCACCACAGCTAACGGTCAGATAGCTTTGCATTACAACTGTTTTCCAAGGGGGTTTTCTTACTTTATAGGACAGTTTGAAAGTGGTTCAGGTTAATATGAAACAATGGCTAGATTCTTCTGTGCATTTTAAAGGTTTACTGGCAGCTTTAGTGGTTCCTCCTAACTGCACTGACATAACTCCATAACTTCCTAAAGCTTGAAGAGTTGAAGTATTTAAGCAGCTCTCATCATAACAAAACAATTCAGTCAATATAGAATCAAATTTGACTGTTTTTAACATTATTTACATTTAGATGGTACCTGCAGAAGAATAGCAGAAGTGATACCTACTATGTTTCTTTTTTTGTTTTGTTTTACAAAACCATAACTACTAGGTTTATAAATTCCATTAAAAGGCCAACATGGTTTATATGTATATTTGAAGATAATCTGGTGCTATTGTTTAAGAGAACACGTTCCCTGAGTTAAATAGGGTCTGTATTATGAACCCATTAAGACCTCTTACACATTTCTCCCTCTGTGTTACCTAACCTCACCATAGCAGAGTTAATACTGTTAGGGAACAAGACACATTCCTACTGTGTTCTCTCAGACTGCTGAACCTTCTTACTTTCTTCAGAAAGGTGCGGTGTACGTTCCTTAAACTTTCAAAACTGCATAAAAAGAAGTTGTAAATGTGTTTTTTTATAGCTTTGATTTTCCTCCATTTCAGACGTCGATTCACTAATGTGTGTCTTGACAACATCTGCGGATACCTGGTGGAGCTGCAGTCTCTGAGCCCGAACTCGGCCCTTCAACAAACCATTGGAAACTTCAAGTCTCTACAGGCGAAGCTGGAAAAACTCCACTGACACTACTAATGAAGTTCTTCACAGGACAAGGGACAGGTGACCTCTGGATGTTGCACTGTTTGCCTTAATTTAACAGCTGATCTATGTGTCTGATCACATGATCAGCATGCACGACTTGATGTTGGTATTCCATTGTAGAGTTTGCCACCTTTTATCTTCAGTCTGAAACGTTGCGGCTTTGCGAGCTCGAGCAGGAGAGAGAAAAGTCTTCTGATAAAGATGAGACGGACAAATTTTATAACTTATTTAATACTTTTTGTTATTGGTCTACACATAGTGTTAAAATAAAGCTTTGGAAATAGTTTTTTTTTTTCTCTGCATTGTTTGCAATATAAGTCAAAAGATTAGAAGATACCCAGGTCATCCGTGTTCATGAAGCATGAAATAACTAAATGAGAGTTTGCCGGTCTGTTTTCATACATTGAAAATGCACTTATGGCTGATTGATTTAGGATTTTTTCATATGCATCCACTTGATAAAATACATTTTGATCAGAGGGGAATCATTTTGATTGTTCTCCATTTGCCTCCAAACAAACAGTTCAGTGTTGGACGTTGTAATTATGTATATAACTTGGCCATAATGTCAACTCAACTTAATTCTCTTGTGTATTATTTCCTTTTTTGTTTACTTGGCTGAAAATTGTAACCTGTGCCCTGGTGAATGAGTGTTTTGTGTGTTTGGAACAATTTGTACACACAGCCCATCACTGAAAACTGTGGTATGTGTTGTGTGGAGTCATAAAAAAACATTTTTATTAAGAGAAACTTGGCATCACTTGGTGTTTGTATCAGCAGAAATGTCACCTGTGAACAAAGCTGTGTTTTTAGGTACAGATCTGTGATCAAATTTGCAAATAATAACAAACAGAAGGATAAAAAATGTGCTGTGGGCTGATTACTGTGGTGCAAAAAGATGTCCAATAATGTACTTGTTGCCTTCACTGTTTGTTGACATAATTATCTTTAATTGAAAACAGTACTCAGGGTTTTCTACAGTCATGAAAGCCAGGGCAGTAATTGGTAAGGGACTTCTTTCTCCAATTAGCTGTGCACTAAAACACACAATCACATATCATTTTTAGCCTTATTAAAAAATAAAATGTTTGTACCTGACACTGGGTTGATGTCTTTTTTAATGACTCAGTGACACATAAATGCAAATACATTACGTCAAGCAAAGGTTTTGCAATGTAAGCGACAACTAATGATACAAACAGCCTTCTTTATAATATCAGACATGATGCTACTGATCAAAACACTCTTCCCAGTTTTCATAATGCAAGTCACTTAAAATGAGTCTTTGTGCACCTTAGCTAGAAAAAAAACAGGATTTTTTACGTTTTGATTCTCCCTATAGTATACCTACTTTTTGTCGTCTCAGAAATACAATAATATCAATATAGTTTCGTTATAGCTGTTCAAAGCAAATGACAAAGCCATGTATTATGGTGAAATAGAAAACAAAAGAAATAAAATTAAGTTTGTTTATAACATACATAAAATATTCCTGACAAAGGGATCAATTAGCTTAAAGACAACAGTGCCTTTATGACCCACAACACAATATTGAAAAGCTGATGGGGCATAAAGCTGCGTCAGTGTCAGATAATCCTGAAGACCCCTGTCTGGAACAAATGCTCAGTGGGAACCTGAACATTATTAAATTGGGTTTAGAGATATTTTATCAGTCGACAGTAATTCAATCTACCCTCTACCTTCATGTATTCCAAGTTAGATCAAAAACTCACTTCACTCTGTAAAGTGTCTGAAAGAGAGGTCTGAAGATGACCCACTCATGGCCAAAAACATTTGGTTACCCTCACTTGAGATAGATAGACACTATTGTTGGAGAAATTACTTAATCTTTTTTACCAAAACAGTTGCTATTTAATTTAATATCAACCAGCTTATGTATTCATCTGCTGATTGTTTCAGTTCTTTACAAATCATGAAATAAGAGATTAACGGAGTTTGCCATGTACAGTATGTGTTCATCCACACCTATTCTGCATCTTCTGGAATTAGCAAAGGAAGTTTTAATTTATACCAGGGCCATTTTTGACAAATTTGGGTTTAGCTTTTGATTGGTAGTAGCAACCCCTGTTGAACAACAATTGAGACTATTAAAATGATATCAATTGACCCCCTGTAAAATCAGATTTGCTTTACATAATTCTACCGTTTGCATGAGCAAGAAAGCTTTTTCACTCCATGCAGGAATATATAAGGAATAATGCAGGTGTAGGAGGCTGCAACATAACTGGCCACCTCCACCACTATTGATGAGGTGTGGATGTTGTTGGTGATACGCAGAAGCAGATGAGTCAGCCAGCAGACCAGGAACACACTAGCTACCGCCACCACACTCTTGGCTGCCCTCACTTGAGGGCCCGAGCTTGGACTTGGTTTAGCTGCCATCTGGCTTGGCCTTGAAAGAGTTGGTGGAGCTCCAACTTTGCTGCCTGTGTTTGCGTCCTTGCTGTGGTGGGAGGTGTTAGCGCTTTGACATGACTGGCTTCCATTTGGACAAGAAGTAGCAGCCACGCCTGTATAGATGGTGGTTAGTGATGCAGAATCTTTGGTATCGTTTGAGGTGCTTGGGCCAGCAGCATCTTTGACTGGTGGGTCTTCCTTAACCATCTCCTTGGTAGCGTAAGAGTTGTGACTCTGAATGCGTCGCTGGTTTTGGAGGAGAGTTATAACAATCTGGATGCTGACAAACACAATCCCAGCAACAGGAAGAGCATTCGCCAGGGTTAGATAAAATATTTCATAGGTTTGTCTAGCAATTGCATTAGGAAACCAGTCTATACAATCCTCGTGGCTGCCATTCGTCACCTCCACTGTGACAAAGAAAACATGTGGGATACTAAAGACCAATGCCACTGTCCAGCTCCCAGCCAAAAGACATCCAACCAAGCAGAGACTGTCCAGCTGCACCGAGGCACCACCTCGTTTTAGAGATCCGACGAGCTTCTGATGCCAGAAAACACTGATGAATAAGGTTGTAAAGATGCTGCTGGTTTCAGAGAGGTCGGCGCTGAAACGAAACACGCAGCAGAAGGTTTCCCCAAGGAACCAACGTCCGGCGAAATCTGCAATGGTGTCGGGAAGGTCCACCAGGTAGTTGGTGATGAGGTTGGAGACGGCCAGGTTGATGAAGAGGACCTCATTTGTGCGGATGCCAGATTTCTTCCCGGGTAGGGAGCGTATTGCCAGCCAGTTGTTTCCAAGTATACCTGCCAGGAACATGAGTGCTCTGATGATGGATTCAATCAGCTCTTCTGCGTCCATCCTAACAGACAGTCTTCCAGGCTTGTGATCTTGCATGCTTTGATTTTTTGAATTTTTATAAGGGAAGGAAGGAAGGATGCCAGACCCAATCACACTGTAGTATTCAAACAACAACTCACCATTTCATTTTCCATCGGGAGCCTTCATTATGTAATCCCTCTGAGATAAAGGTGTATTCTTCTCAAGATGGGCCCTCCCAGGGGGCCTTCCCTGACCAAATGTAGATTGAAGAAAGAACAAAAGGTAGAATCTGAACATCAAAATAACACACCAACTCATTAGTCATACAGGACGGAGAACCCTTTCAACATTTCAGTTAGATTTGTGTTTTCATTCCTGCATCACTTTTTCAAATAAAATATTTTTTTGCGTGCAAGAAGTCAGTTTATCCTCTCGCAATCATCCCTTAATTTTTCTTAAGAAATGTTTATCAGTAGGACTAATCTAAAATCATTAAGTTACTCTTAACACAGTGCGTGTTGACAAATTCTAACAACATATTAAACGAGTTGTCCTTTGCCTAAAGGACTTTGCGTGATCTAATCTACAATCATAAAAGGTTAAAAAACAAATAGCTAGGAACATCAAAGCACAGTTTTTAGTTTCGGTGTAACCTGCTTTTTTTTTTGTTTTGTTCAAAATTAAAAAAAAAAAATTTTTTGCAAAACATTAAATGCATAATGTGAACATGTTGAAAAAAAAAAAATCTTTTAGGTGTCCTTGTAGAAATTATCAATTTTCATTCAATCTCTAAGGGTGATCATTGAATTTACCTACATTTTTCTAAAATCAGTATTGGTGTCTCAAAAACCCTTATTAGATGGCTTTAGTCAGCAGGTCATTAACTAAAGCTTCATTAAAGTTTGGCAGCGCCAATCCACCCAGTCTGCAGTTATAAATGTTACTTTATTTTTGTTAATAAAAAGATTGAGGTCTTAATTGCAAAAATGAAGTGGTTCAAGCTGGAGACAACATTAAATATTGTGTCCACAAAATATCCTCACACTTGTCCTTTTTTGTTATTTTTATAACTAGGCGTTTTTTTTATTAGCTGTGATAAAGTCACTACAATATGAATAAATTCTGTACCTGCAGGCAATATGTCAACATTATAATTTTAAGAAGATATAGCCTACCATTTTTATTATTAGCCTATAATAAGCCTATTTTTTTTTAATTTAGTGAGTATGTTTGCTTTAAATTTAATTGTCTTTTAAGAGACAATCCAGCTGTTGGTCAGATAACAGCTGGAGTCTCAGTGGTGTGTAGTAGCCTACAGTTTTCACGTCATTCATGTAGAAAAGCTCCTCCTTTTAGGGATAAACCGGAGGCGGCATCTGTGCGCCGCTGCCTGCCGGCACAGTCAGGACGGGATGCAGGAGCGGGCATAGCCGCTGCAGACTGGAGCATTTTTTATTTTTTTTTAAAAACTCCTTTACGACAATGAGTTTTCCGGCGCTCCTAGGTTGAAGACTGGGCTTTGTCCGGGAAAAAAAAGAAAAAAAAAACGCAAACAAACGGGTACTAGTTGCACGGTGGTGCGTTTACTGTCGCTTCCGTTAGTATGATGAGACTCTGATGTGTGCGGAGAGGACAGGATGCCCGCCAGCGGCGCCGAATCGCTGAAACCCAGCGCCTTCATCCCGGTGTGCACGGCCGCCTGCCTCCTGGTCGGCTCTACCTCCCTCTTCTTCGTCTTCACGTAAGTAAAGTTGATGACATGCAATGCTTGTTTGCTCCTCAGAATCTTTTGCTATTTAATCGCTATGTCAGGGATTCTCTCAAAATGTCTTTGTTTTTTTTAAATGTGGAATCGAGTATCATAACATGTTAAGAATGTCACCCATTAGATCCCTCTCTTAAATATCATTAAATACAAATATGGACCTACTATATATACCCTTTCACTCTCATTTGTATACTTAAAAACTGCTCTAACATATCTATTTATTTAACAAATGCACAAAAGGCAACATTTCTTCCTCTTCCCCTCTAACTTCACTCTGCTGGCAGTCCCACCAAGGGCGGCTAACATCTGACCTGTTTGGCTCACAGTGTGGGCAAGTCTGGGTGCCTGCCCGGTGCACCCTGAGGACTCACAGTAAGCACAGTTGTGGGGGATAAGCCACCCACAATCAAGATCAGTGTAGGAATACTTTTATGGGCCATACATGTCGTAAATTCAGCTGCTGGAAATCAAACACACACTTCTGCAGAAGTTTTAAAACCATAGGCATGGTTTCTGTCGAGCTCAGACATGATAAGACTGATTGAAATGTAAGTTTTTGATGCAACGTTTGGCATTGGAATAGTTAATTTTAGCCTCCTGGTTTTGACCTATTTGTGAGGTAAGGCAGAGCTAGTGGGAGGTTGAAAAGACTCAGCTCAAGCCAATGCTGCTCTCGCACTGCAGAGAAAAACTCAATACAATATCCTGTAATACCCTCGAATCCAATTTAGCTGAGAACTATAGGATAGTCAGATTTATCCTATACATTTCAAATCCTTATGTGACATAAAACCAACAAAGAACAAAAACAAGCAGACTAGTGTCAGATAGTAAAGTACTTTCAATATGAAACCCCCTCTGTTATCCAGACATACTGAGGGAACGCTCACACCTCATCTGCTCTATGCCACTCTACTGACCTTTGACTTCTGTAGCTACATCTGTCCTAGATTCTCCTGTATTCTCCAGCCGTTCACCGTTTCCACTGGAATCTGACACCAGATTGGGAGTATGGGATTAGGATCCTGTCGCCAATGCCATTTGATCCCCCATCTGGGAAAAATTTAGTCAATAGATCTTTGAATTTACTATCAGACATCAGATATATTCTGTAGTGTCTTTGGAGTGACTTAAAGCCCTTAAAATACATTCATTTAAGTTTTTTTAGTTTGGCCTTAGCTTGAGGCTACAAATCTTTATTATATGTTATAATACATTATATTTTCTGTGTTGAAAATGAAGCCAATGTGAAACTGCAGTTCCTTGAGTGTCCATCTGAGATTGACAGTCTACTTCAAAAAATGATTTTGTTTTCTTTTGCAAATTTCTCTGTTGGTAAAAAATAAAAATAAAATAAAAATAACTGTATGTGATTACAGACTCATTCATTTTGATGATAATAAGAGTTATGCATACATTTGCATAATGAGTGGTGTGGTTGAGTTGACCGACAAGTTGGCACCTTGTAGCTTTTCAGCCAGGAGGATTAAGGCCCTCCTAAACTCCACTTTTTCGCTTGTTTCTAGATAAATCAAACCATAGACTGTATATAGACAGGAACATAGTCTCAGTGATAACACCCATTGGTTTCTGGAGCAGACCTTTGAAGCCCATCTGTGCTATTATTGAAAAATGCTGTCTTAAACTAACTAAGTTACAGGCAAAGAGCTGGGGCTGAGGCGGGCCCTGTAGCCTCTTGGCTTACAGCTACAATGTTCTTGTCTGTCATTCAAAACAGCTACGCTCCTTATAAATGATGGCAGTTAGCTTTAATATCATCAAAACAGAAGCGACATAAATTAGTTATAAAAAAAAATGAATCCCTCATACAGTGCCATTAAATAAATTAACTATTGAGGCCACGTTCGTGTCTTTAAACCAGACTGTTAGAACCAGAGGTTGCTGCTTGGATCAAACTTTTGTTTGAGATAGCATTTTCCAATATGGCTACCGCCATCATCTTTCTTCATATCGCCTCTTCATAAACCACTGGGTAATGTCACTAAGACATCCATGTGTTGATGAATTTCTAAGTCTTTCCTGCCGTGAGTTACATCAAAGCTTTCAGTTATATGTAGCAGCAGAATGATGAAACTGTATTCGTTGATATATTTAATGAATATAGCATTTATGGTACAAAATCTGCTTTATATTTACATAACCAAAATTGGTCAAAACATGTCAGACTCCTTTATTGTAATTCTATCTTGACAACTGCTTCCTGTTAAAGTAATCGCACATTTCGGACATAGACTCACAGGCCAGAGAAGGTCCAGAAAAGCCCTGATTAACTTGATCTATGTTGTAAAAGATATATATAAAAAAAAAAATCAATGGCCTGCTGGCATGAAAGATTGAAAAGAGACTTCTTAATTGGGACTGCATTGCAAAACCAGCAAAACCAGGACACTGCAAGTGATTGAAAGAACGAATGCTGAATCTGCCTCTAATGGGGCCAGGGTTGCAAATGAACTGAAATGACCTTATAACCTAAAACTGTTTCAAATTATAAAACCTGGTAGATTAAAGTTTGTCATTTTCTAAAGTCACGGCTTAAAATGATCCCATAGTGAGTCTCTATACCCTTACATAAGTTAAAAAAATGCTCTTGTAAGTGTCTTAAACACCCTTCTGGTTTTGTTTGCTTGTCAAATATAAGGTACATACAGTAGACTTGAAGGCTATTAGGATAAACACTCATCAGGAAGTTAGACACGTGGTTTTTTTTTTCAGGAAAATTGGCAGAAAGTCAGTGTTGTGTTAGCTGCCTGTTAGGCCCACACTTTTCTGATATGAGCCATAACTGGTCTAATATCCCGTGTTTCTGCCAAGTAAGCAGCTGCAGCTGGAGTGACTCACTTCCTCCAAAAGTGGAGATAGACAGGTGCCAGGCTCTCTTCAGCCCTGCCTCACTTACACTGATTCAAAGGGACATCTCTTGTCATCTGCCATAGCATCACCCTGCCCTTTGCCCTGCTATCTGTGAATCATAGGAACATCTCTACCATCCGGTCAGACATTTTGTACGTTTGTTTTTCACATTTTATATCAAGATAAAAGCGTTTATCCCCGATTTTAATTCTCAACCCTGCAGCCATGTTATATTTAAAGTCGCAGTCCTTTCATCTGGTAATATTCATGCAATTATAATATGAGTGTGTGCATTATTAGTGGAGGCATTTCTGTTTCCACTGCAAGTTTGGTAGAGCTCATTAAATGTCGAAGGCTCTTTTGTCTTCCTCTGCCCGATAAAATTCATCAGTTGCCGGTTTCCTGCTTTTGTTCCTCTGACCGTGAACTTTTGTTTGGGTTGGTACTCAAGGTTTTCTGTATTGTCGAACTCAGGCAGGTCGCCTACACCCAGCAGATACCAAAGACATCAGAAAGACCAAGAAAGATGTCCTTTGTAAATTAATTTATACTCTACCAGAGTACATTTGTATTGAATATATTTAAAATATTCTGAATCTAGAAAGGCTACATTATCTGAAGAAAGGTGTGCTCACCTAGGCTGAAAATGCCTAGTGCTAAGTGTAGGCAGAATGAACTGTCATAAAATAAGGATGGGACAAAACATTTTTATGGCAATATATTGTCACCCTGAGACAATTTGAGACAAATTATCAAATCATGGGCGGTACATTTATGCTCTGAACAGATTACCTTGACAATTTGACTCCCCAGGTTCCTATTTAATGAATCCTTACGGTGACACTTATGACATGAATGAGGTTAGCATGAACAGAAGGTAATTGGCCAAAGAAGAAATTGACTGCAGGATACTGGCAAACAGCAGTGAAAAGAAGTTACAAGATGAAGCATGCTAAGAGGTGTAGCAGGCACCAGATTTCAGCGTATAAATACATTAATCCTCCTCGTTACTTTTTTAGGGGCAGTTATTTTTGGTATATTGTATGGTATTATATGGTATGGTATGGTTTGATATTGTATCATATGTTATGGTATACGTTATGATATGAAATACTATTGTATGATATGGTATGTAATCGTGAGTTCAATTCCAACCCTTAACATAACATTTAAATGTATTGCTTGCAGATTTTATGAGTTATGAGCCAGTTTATCTACATGGCAATTTCAATATGCCTTTAGCTTCAAATTTAGCATATTGTTATTGCCATTTATATAGAGGTAGATTTTGGTTTTATAAATACTGTACACACAGGTTAAAGTATAGATGTAGTAGAGTAGAGTCATTCTCACATTGAATTCACTAAATGTAATAGAATTTTCTTTGGCTAACATTACTGCATGCTAACATTAGCTTGGATTTGCAAGCTACATGTACTGTGAGCTACTTCATGCAGATAGGGGCTGCGGTATCCTAACCTTGAGGTATTAAGGATTAAATACTTTTGACTTTTAAATCTCCTGAATTCAACTTTCATCCATTAAAAGTATTTTTTTTTTCTTCAAAAATGGCATAGTCTGTCTTTTCAGAAATTGGAGTCTTCTGAGCACAAACGTTAGCATTAAACTGAGTTAAGCAAACCATGTTAAGAACAGGTTAACTGAAATATGTAGAACTTACATTTAAAAATGTTACAAATATGTAGTATATTCTTGCTTATTCTCTCATTTAAAGCTCAAACTGTTTAACTTTAAAGCATCAAAAGACGTAGACTAACAGTCTAAATCCATCGCTTTTGAAGGTTTCGCACAAAATACATCTTAAATTGCCTTCACATGTAACGGATGGTGCACAGTGAGAAGAAAATTATGAAATGTGAATGACAACAGTTGCAGATCATTTGAAACCAGCACACTGTGACCACATGCTTTCTGGTGATTCATTGGCCAGTATGTGGAAATGTTTTTACTTCAGTAGTTTCCTGTGCTCGTGATTGCGTCTTCAAATCTGACAGATTACATGTTGGTGATGTCATTTATCTAACTGTAACAATATTCCACTGAAGGACCCCTGTCTGCCAGCAGTAGTGAACTTACAGCTCAAACCAACTTTATTGCAAGCGTCTGGTGTGCCACTGACCCACTGTGGGGATGAAGGCAGCATGCAGATTGCAGAGCAGCTTACCGATCTGTGTGATTTAATACAGCTCTGCCCGAGCTCTTTCATTAGGTGGGGCTTGTCTTTGCCACGCTGCGGTGTAATGAACTGTCTCTCCCTGCAGTCCAGATGGCCTCAGGCCCATGATGATGGAAGCTTGCCGGCCATGCAGAGGCGTCCACATTGTAATCTGTTTTACAAGAAATCAATCAGATAAACTCTTGCAGGTTTAAGAGTTTCATATGTAGATGTGGAGCAGGCTGTATTTCATAAGTAAATCGATGAATTTGTATTAACACAGCACCAAATCAGAACAAAAGTTATTTCACAACACTTTACATTAAAAGCAGGTCTGGTCTGCACCAATTTTAATATTATGTACAAAGACTGAAATAAATTCACCATGAGTAAGCACTTGGCAACTCTGACAAGGAAAAAAACTTCCCTCAGGGAGAAACCAGCTCACTGGTAGAGGTATCTGCCGCAACCTGATGGTGAATGCAATGGAATATATCAAGAACCGATCTATCTATCTGAAGATAGATCTAATACTTATATTTTAAAGACCATGGGAAATCATTTAAAAGTTAACCAGTATATGGATTAACAATGAATTTAATATAATTCAGTCCCGTTTTGGTGACCTTCTCTTAAGAAGCAGTTTTGTAACTAACCAGCTCGAGTTACACAGCTTAATGTAAGTGATCAGCTGTGACAGTTTAAGCACATGTCAAACATGACCATATTTAGCTGGAAGAACTTGGATACAAATCCAGAATAGCAGCCTAAAGGGGGGAGGGAGGGATCATATTATACTCCTTAATCTTTTTGTCACATATTCTCTGCTTCTTAAGGTTTTTTATAATTTAATTATGCTAAAATTATTCAGATCCAAAAATATATTTTTTGTCTAATTTGCATTTTTTTCATTCATCTTGTGCTGTAAGTGAAATACCATTTGAAATGATCTCCCGGTATACAGTAGATAGTAGCGTGCTGTTTGATACCTGACGTGCATTGACGACACGCACGCTCTGTTTGTATCGAATATGGGAAAATACACAATGCACTGGACTGGCAGGAATGGTCTGTAATCCAGAGTTCATAATCCAGGGATTACTGGGTTTGCATCTGGCATGGCATCAGCAGGCGTTCCTCGTGGGGGGAAAATAACCCCTCCCCCACAGCCTAAAACCAGCTGAGGTGGGGGTTTGGGGATTGGAGCTGCTGCTGGGATGAAAAGCCGCATTTTCACTTTTACAAGATTTTCTGTTTTAACCTTTCATATGTGAAGATATGTCTGGAAAAAAAATCTACAGAATTGTATCCAGCTTTACTCTTTTTGTTTGTCAATCTACAGGCTCTAAAGTTGCATGTTTATATTTACAATGACCTGGAAGACTGAGAACCTGCACAGGCATTTTACAGGTTCATAATTTCTCTCCACCTGTGCTAAAACCAAAAATGAAAAATGTGACTTTTAATGACTCGAACATAAAAATTCCCATGCACTTGACTTCGACAGTAAATGTAGGTTAACCATGTGATGTTCAATCAAACACAAAAATTCCCATGCACTTGACTTCTACAGTAAATGTAGGTTAACCATGTGATGTTCAATCAAACACTGTAAATATAATCCAGTGAATCTTTTCCTCTCTGTCTATCACTGTAACCTGATTACACTGCCCCTCCCTCTAATCTCACACAGCCGAGATATATCCATACTTCAGTACGGTTCAGCATGTAGACACACACACACACACACACACACATGAACACACACACACACACACACACACACACACACACACACACACACTCAGAGTCTTTATATGTCTCTCGAAGATTTTTGGTGGCATTCATGCACTGATGGATATTGGTTCAATCCTGGTAGAAAACTCAGATCAATACTTTGATACTGGATGCTATTTTTTTTCTTTAAGTTGATGTGATTAAAAAACATTAGACAAGACATTATATTGAGCCATTGCACTGATTTTTATAAATGACATGTCTTTTTGCTCAATCAGTCATTTTACATGTGCTTTAAATTGAGCAGTTATGATAAATATTCAAATATTTAATGATCACTCTAATGACCATTTGCAAAAAAAAAAAAGCAGATTACTTGCATTAAAAAGTATTTTTCTTTTCAATATGGACATATGCGCTGATTTCTTTTGCAACTCAATCGCTTAGTTGTCTTGTCCAACAAAAAATTGCCCATCCCGGTTTATCAGATTTCAGGATGACGTCATTAAAATGCATTGTTTTGTCCGACCATTCAGCCTGAACTCACAAAATGTTCAGTTTATGATGTTATAAAACAGGAAAGCAGCAAATCCTTCCAGCTTTTTAAATCCTCGAATCTCAAATCATAAACCCCAAGGCCTCGACAGTCTCCGGGACTCTTTTTGACATTTTTGTATAATAAAGGGTCTTTAGCAAGAGACAGGTTTTTTTTAAATATTAAAATAAGATTAATAATTGATTTGCACCATTAAAAATCAAGTAATTTATCATGCTATTTATCATTGAAAAAGGGAATATTTTATTGGACTATATTCATTGTCCATTAAATACATATTTGGCTTTTTGACAGTTTATTAGATGAAAAAGTATTTGACAATGCAGGATCATGAAAATCATAAAGATAGGATTCTTGTTTCTACAGTTAAATGGACTAATTGATTAAGGAAAGATAATAAAGTCACGACCATAATCGTTCCTTGCATCCCTTTTGGTGTCTTGTCCTACTTTATCGTGTTAAACAGAGACAGTAAGTGTCTTGCCTTTCCTGCAGGGTACCCCACCATTTAATCCCTTGTTGTGGGCCCTGGTGAACACGCACTAATACATGCTTATCTTTAACTGTAAACAATTACTTTTGGGATCTTCTTCTCCCCTCGGAATAAATGGGATGAAGATTATCTCTAAATCTTTGTTGTGGCCCTGATTTGTGTTAACCTCAACCTCTAAGGGATGGATACTCCAGCGATGTAAAAAATACCCTGGAAAACTGGAAATTTTACATTCTGCTTTGAATGAACTTTTTTTTTTCTCTCCTTCTGTTTTTGTATATTCAGATGCCCGTGGCTGGCTGTGACCATCTGCCCAGCGGTGCCACCATGTTGTGCCATCCTCTTTCTTTTCGTGCTGGCCAACTTCACCATGGCAACCTTCATGGATGCAGGTGTGCTCCCAATGGGTGAGTAATCAAACGGATGTTCTGCTCACAGAAGAAGATAGATCTCTTTTATCGTTTGCTCTATGGAAGTGTTACATCAACAATCGTCACATTCGTTTTCCAGCAAACGAGGACGAGGACAAGGATGATGAGTTCCGTGCTCCGCTGTACAAGAATGTGGACGTGAAGGGTGTCCAAGTGCGGATGAAGTGGTGCGCGTCGTGTCATTTCTACAGACCCCCACGCTGCTCCCACTGCAGCGTTTGTGATCACTGTGTGGAGGTGTGTGCATGTGTAGTAAAGAAGAAACATGAGAGATTGCAGAAATGAAAACTGCATACATGAGGGCGAGATGGCATATGTGTTGGGGAATCAAAATGGGGAAAATGAAGGCATGGACGCACAGATCAGGGGAGTGAAAACCAGCAGTGTTTGTAGGGAAAGTCTAAAAAGGAGATTTCTGTGGAGCTATGATGGACGGAATGTGGTGGAGGGAGAGAATCTCATTAATCAGGTTAATCCTTTTTCTCAGATCCCTTGTAGTCTCAGTAGAAATGCAATTCGAAAAAGGGTTCAGTGGGCCGGTATTAAAGTGTATTAAGAAAGCACAGTCGACATTTAAGTTTGAAATGAATGCTTTGTTGTTATTTCCCACTTTCCCCTCTCAGGACTTCGACCATCACTGTCCCTGGGTCAACAACTGCATCGGGAGGCGAAACTACCGCTACTTCTTCCTGTTTCTGCTTTCTCTGACAGTCCACATGATCTGTGTGTTCAGCTTTGGTCTCGTATACGTCCTGAGCCACATGGACGACCTGTGGAAGCTGCACTGCACTGTCACGTATCCTAATGTGGATGTACAACTGTGCTTCTCTTTGTGTAGAATGTATGACACCTTTGTCCAAACGAGACTTAACGAAGCAGTTTTCCTTTACAGTAAACACAGTTTGGTTGTGATCAGTATATCAGGACTGTTTCTTATACCGGTCCTGGGTTTGGCTGGATTCCACCTGTACCTGGTCTCCAGAGGACGCACCACCAACGAACAAGTAGGTTTGATTTTCCGGTTATTAAACTGACTGTCAATACCAGTGGAAATACATAAAAAATGAATGATATGTAAAAAAATATGTCTTAAGGACTTACATATTGATGTATTATTTGGGAAAAGTTTCATAGCGCTAACTAAAACAAAGGTTATACAGATACACGTTTTATATAAAGCAAGTACAGCTAAATCTCTCCCATAGATTGTCAGACATTCAAAATCATAATTTTAAGATTTATTAGAAATCCCGAAGCCAACGTTAGAGCTGCATAAAAAAAGACACAAAAATAGAGAAATAAATAAGCAAAGTTCGAGAGATAAAACAGTAATTGGGTTACCTTTAGCAGGCCTTGACTGTATATGTTCTTGATATTATATAGCGAGGGTATGACACTACACCTCCGAATGCTCCTGCTGCTACCCTGCCAGCGTGTGACTTTGTATGAATGGGATAAGTTAATACTGATAGACACTTTAAATGGCAGCCCTCTGCCATCAGTGAAGGAATGTGGCGTGAATGTGTGAATGTGACATGTAGTGAACAAGCTCTTTGAGCAGTAAGAAGTCCAAGTCCATTTAGCCCTTAACCATACGTTAAGTATTACTAAAGCTTTTTTTTTTTTTAAACTTCTTTCTATTGAGTTTTCAACATAACCAACATATTTACAATATTTTCCCTTGCAAGCTGTTATGATAGCAACAGCCTGACACTGCAACAATAGATCAGATATTTTAATACAGACGTTTACAGCCAAACCAGATAGATTAGTGCAGAGCTTTAATCCTAAATGTCATACACATACCAGGTGTTTTGCATTAGCAGGGTTGAAATCACCGTCACCCAATTAGGAATACCGGTATATACAAAAATAGTAATATATGTTGTATCTGTGTGTTGTGTCCTTGCTTGTGTTGTTCTTACTCTCTGGTGTACGTCGCTTTGCATAAAAGCGTCTGCTAAGTGAATTATAGAATTGTATCTATACACATATACTCATACACGTTTAGATAAATGTAGCTATATACTGTGGTAGAACTGGGCCTGCAGAAAATCAGCAGAAAGAGAAAACCCTCCGAACCTTGGGACGAGAGTAAATAAAAGAGACTTTCAGAAACTGTTGAGTTGCTAAGTCACCCAGTTTATTACATGCAGCATGGAGAGAAGTTCAGCTATGCGTACAGGATACACAAAGTAAGTTCTCTGCCCGCTCTTGGGGCGTACAATCTTTATATACTTGAGCATATAGTGTGATCGAAACTTACAGAGGAGGATCAAAGAAAAAGGTGTAGCTTTATCTGTGTCAGCACCTTGTGGTCAGTGTATAAATATGTGAATGTAGCAATAACTTGTCCTTGAGAGTTTAAAAAATAGTCCTTATAAGGAGCTGTTGTTGAGTCTGTGTACCTGAGATAAAACACCTGTGGTGAGGTGAGTATCGTGCAAGGTTCGTGTGTTGCAGTGGTCATATAAGGACACGGTGCATGTATACGTGATATGTGTAATGCATTGGATCAGTTAATGAGCAAACATAAAAGTATAAAGAATATAAGATTCCACAATACAACTCTGGAACTGCAGGAAATCTATTCACTTACCATCAGAAAAGAAGTAGGACCACATTGCATAGATTTAGTTTAGAGACCTTTTTAGAGTGTGTTTCATTTTCTGTTACTTCACAGGAACCACTCTCTTTTAACAGGCACAAACCAGACTTATTGGTGGACAGTATTCTGCCCGAATGAGCTGATTCTCTAACCAATGATCTTTTCATATTTATGTAATACAATATGTATTCTTGTCTTTTTGTGATTCTTCAGGTAACTGGGAAGTTTCAAGGAGGAGTGAATCCCTTCACACGAGGTTGTTGCAACAATCTGGAGTATCTGGTCTGCAGTCCCATCTCTCCAAAGTAAGAGCCATTTCCTCAACTTAGTCTAGTTCTTTTTATGATGTCTTATAAAACTCACAGACTGACGTCCTGATTGATGTGACTAAAGGTACACAGCACGGCCCTATAAGAAAACAGTCATCCACATCCAGCCTCCATTCCTGAGACCAGAGATTGACAGGCAGATGTCAGTGAAAGTCCGTGACAACGGGATACAGACTCAGGATCTTCAAACTAAAGTATGCATCAACAAATTACATCCCAAATTCAAAAGTTTCTCGGGCATCATCTGAGGATTGTAACCTCAGCTGTCAAGGGATTAGGTCTCTCATGTTTTTCTGGTATTTTTCCCTCCTTCCAGCGAACGTCAGCAGGAGCTGTCGAGCTGTCAGACATCAAACAGATGAAAACTGCACCACCACTGCCACCCAAACCAGAGCACGCCCTGCTGAAGAGCCACTCAACAGCCACAGATGGTACTGTAGCATGACACAATTACACTGTAATAGCCAGGCAAGGAATTGAGGCAGTTTATATACACTTGTATAGTGACAAAATACCAAAAAATGAAAGAAGCATCCAATCCCAACTGCAGGGTCAATAAAATGATACACTGATCCAACAAACAAGTATTGTCTGTGTAGCCTAAGTCCATTTTAGTTTATTCCTCTGTGTCATAGAACCCCATTGTTCTAAGAAAATGGTTATGAGTGAGCAAACAGTCTTGGCAACATTATTCTTTTCTTTTATCATGAGCTTAAGTCTATTCTGAGTCCATCCCACATACGTCCTTCTGATTGCACAATTACATATCTGACAGTTCAAGGTCAAGTTCTCTATTTTTAGATCCAAAACTGTTGAAGCGAAGCATATGTAATGATCTCCTCAGTTCTCAAGCTCTCTCCAACAATGCTTATATAAAAGTATGCATGCAGGAAAAAAAGTATGAGTCTAAGAAATAGGCATAAAAAGGCATGCAGAAGTATAATGGCACCATGTACACATATTTAACACCTTTTCTGTAGAAAGAGATACATGCATATATAACTTTGATGGGCTAATATATTTTGTATCTTATTGGCCTGAGGTATATGTATCCCCTAAGAGTCTTCAAGAGTTTGTTCAAATTAAAAAAATATATATATGTTCAGCCTTATCCCTTAAAAGCCTCCATGGTTTCATTGCTGGGCTATTCTTTGGATATCCACAGTCTAAAATTTGTTGTTTTTATGTTTTGACAGAAATGGGACACCATACAAAAACCATCATTCCGGTGTCCATCCCCACTGTGCCACAGTTACGGCCGGTCCTGGAGGCCATATCCAGAGGATCGTCACCAATTCCTCCAGAGCAGGTACTTCACTGTCTAATGATAATATATATATATTTTTTTATATGAGTGTGATCCTTCCCTGACAAACAACGTTTTTGCTTGTTTGTTTTTTATTTGTGGTGTTGTTTAGTTTTTGAAGACATCGGAGCAGCAGGGGAACAACAGGAGTCCTGACCTCCGCTCTGATTCTAAAGAAAGCCCCCATAGAGGCAGCCAGCAAGCCGGCCTGCCCATCCAGACCAACAGCATCTCTGCCTCGCTGCAGCTCAACTCTCTGACCCTAAATTCTCGCTCACTCACCCTCAAACACAGCAATCGCCATGGCAACAAACCCCAGCTTCACACCATGCACAGTGACAGCTTAGGATCGAATCCTGCACCGGGTATTATCACCTCCTCCGGTCTGCTGGCCAATCACAGCAGCAGCAGCCTCTCCTATGATAATCTCATGAACCCTGCAGACCCTCAGTTCTTGCCTCAAAGAGGGGCTCCACCGGTCGGCTACCACTCTCACTTCATGTCTCTGGGTGCAGATGGGACTGTGGTGCAGCGGCCTCTTCCTCACGCTTACAGCCCCGTGTTTATGGGCATCACCAGACAGTCTCCTCAGCCCAGAGAGACCTCACCCTCCCTGCAGGGCCTCACGTCAAGGGACCCCTCTCCCTCCTTCCAAGGTTTCATTCAAAGAGACCCCTCCCCATCTTTCCAAGGCCTTATGCAGAGAGACCCCGCATCCCAAGGCGTGACAACACGAGACCTTCCCCCTAAAAGTTTGGCATCTCAATGTCTCAGAGACAGCCTCAGGGATCTCGGCCCGCAGGGTTTGACACAACCGAAATCTGCTGCTGCTCGCTATGACAACTTCTCAAAGACCCTCATGGCATCTATTCACGAGAGGCGGGAGTTGGAGGAGAGGGATAGGATGTTGCGTCTCCAAGCCAGATCGCAAGCCCTCTATGGTCCTGATGTTGGGATTTATGACATCCCTAGCAGGAGAAGTCTACCACCAGAAAACATCCACCGGCCTCCTGGCTCCCGTGGGCCGACTCCTCCTGCTTATGGCTCCAGGGAGTTTCTGATGAGCACAGGCATCTTAGGGTACGGCTTGAGGACATCACCGCTCTCCAGCTCCTCTACGTCATCTCTGACTCGAGGCCCCAAAACGTCCAGCTCCCCTCTGCAGAGCAGCAGCAGCAGCAGCCTGCAGAGCAAAGGCAGGTCTTCCTCTCCTGCTTACTGCCCTCCCGATAGACAGACTCAACCCCTCCCTTCCTCTACGTCCACTCTGCCCCGTTTACCCAGCGCCTCTGCCCCCTCATACGCCTCCTACGCCACTGCGAAGCGTTCCTCGCTCACATACTCCACGGAGGGGAAGGACTCGGTCACCCTGGGAGCCCTTAAATAATATTAAAAAAAAGAAAAAAAGAAAACATACTCCATGTTTCTGGTGGTGTGAATGAATCATCTATGCAGTGTTAGTCTCAGTCTTCACAGCGCTGAAACACTTTGTAAATAAGAGGCCGTTTGGGATGTTTCCTATGTGGGAGAGTGTATGAGAAACAAAGTGCAGGATAAACTTGGAAAATGTTCTTCCAAAAGTCTTGTCCAAGTCTTTCAAAATCTGAGAATCTCAGGATAGTTGGGCCTCCTCTAACAAACAGAGCGAGCTCCACAAACTCAAACTGAAAGCAGAAGGGCTATGTGAGGAGTACATATGGACTTTCTATCTGCTTGTATGTGTTTTGATATTGCTTTTGTGAAACAATGTAATACCACATTTGTCTCCCGCCTACAAGTTACCCAGTTTAATAAAATTTTGTAGTTGTTTATATGAATAAACTTATTTTGTAATTTTCATTTCTTTATCTCCATTATTTACTCCTGTCAATGCCTATTAACCGGTGTAAATGTTTACATATTCAAAGCACCATACCACTCTATTTATAGAAAAGGAAAACATCATTTCACTGAGTGTTAGCCTTTTTGCTTCAAAGATATAATACTTGAGTGAGCTTGTTCTTCCAAATCACACAGTCGTTTAGCTCATAATTAACAGCAGTTAACATATTTGATTTTAAAGCTGGTACAATAAATAGTATACAAATATTCTAACAGCATTTATGATAACCCCATTATGGATTTCAATGCATCACACTGGGATGGAGTGATTGTCTGCATTGAATTTGTGATTGGCGCCCTCTAATGGACAGTTTCAGAATGTTGTGTGATGTGGGTTTAGCGTTCATATCCAGCAGATGATGCTATTGTGTGTAAAATGCTGGAAAACGACATGTCAAGTAATGGAAAGGCTTTATTCTTAAAGGTCCTTATTTTATACAGCATAGTTTTATCATCACAGGTACTGCACATCAGAAAACACGTGGAAAAATCAGAAATTATTGATCAAATAAATATATAAAGACCATTTTTGATTTAATTGAAAACATCTTTTACATGTGTTTTATGTTTAAAGGGCACAAGCAGGAAGGTCAAACCACTCATTTTATTGTATCAGCCAGTTTTCAAAGCTCTGCCCGTCTAACTGGCATTCAGTCTCTGGACAGTCTTATAAAACATTCAGAGCCTTTGTGGCAGAAATGACATAACAAAATGAACTTTTTATGACCTGAAGCCTGTGATCCACTATCACATATTTGTGTGGAGGCAATAAATGACAAGACCTTACACTTTCAGGCTGGGGTTTTTCATATGAGTTACTATTGTACTTGACCTTACAGCAGGTGGGAGTGTGCAGATGACAGCTTGATAGGCCCAGACTGATTTGAACTGTTGGCAGGAATTTACAAGACGTGCAAATAACTTACAGATCCCTCCCCAAACCTGTAAACTCAGTGAGGTTTAGTTAAAGACCTGACAAAAATCAAAAGAATTGGATTATGAGCAAAAAGAAAAACAAATCAGAGAGAGCAACAAGTGGAGTGTAAACAATATTGTTCGGTTGTAATTGGAGATGTTCTTGCCAAAGATTTCTAACAAGATTGCAGATTGTGTTACACAGTCTTTACACTCAAGTGAGTGTGAATACAACAGAAATGAAATCAGATGAGGAAGATGAAGACATTACCAGGGCCTTTAAACAAAATAGGCCTTTCTCCAAAATAGTCTCCAAAGGGATAAATCATGAAACACTTTCTTGTGTGCCTGTTGAAATCAAAATGGCATAGTTTCCTTGTTTGGCCTAGTTTTGAACAACTAAACCTTTTATATGACCAATCATTTACAAAACAGAGCTGCTGATGTCGACAACCTGAATCCATGTTGATTTCTACAATTCACATTTCTTACAGTACATGACAACAACATCCCTGTATGACGATTTACTGTAATTCGGGGAGTTGTTTCAGTGCAGAATAGAATAAAATGAAGCCAAAGAAGAGATCTTGCCAAGTTTGTGTTAGCGTGTGTGTGTGTGTGTGTGTGTGTGTGTGTGTGTGTGTGTGTGTGTGTGTGTGTGTGTGTGTGTGTGTGTGTGTGTGTGTGTGTGTGTGTGCGTGCGTGCCTTGCCTTGCCTTCACAAAGGTCTTTATGAAGGCAACATGGAAACACCACTGTGCTAACAAATTGGCTGCACATAGACAAAGCATTTGTCTTGATGTCTCAGGCTTCTAAGACTTCAGTCAGACAAGGAAGATAATCAAAACAAGTCACTGTCATCATGGATCTGAATCCAGTTCGCTTAAGTTCTTTCTTTTGGTCAAAATTTACAGCAAATAAATCACATTCTTTACACCAGAAAATAACTCTTCCTCATTATCTCTCTGTTGTTTGCTTCCTTCCTCTCCCCACCGGTAAGCCAGGCCTAAAATGATAATGGAGCTAATGACACGGCTGCTGTGCAAAAAAGGATTTCAGTCATTGACAAGTCATTGACTGAGAGGAGAGGATCAAAAGTGCTCTGTGAAGACTGTGCTGGTGTCTAAAAAGCCCACCGTCTTACATCATGCTATTTTTGCTATGCATATCCATAACAAACAAGTCTTAGAAGACACCAGTGTCCTCGCACTGACACTTTATTCATCCAAAAATATGTCTCCTGCTGCAAGAAAACTATACTCAAGCACGATATACTTTTTACATTTCGGTTGGACTTGAAAGGGTCCTGAAAACCAACAGTTTCTCTTTTTTTTCCCTCTAACTTATCTAATCCCCAGCGCCTGTACACAAGAGCATTTTCAAAATCTGCTGAATATCATATGAGGTTTAAACAATCTGACTGACCCACATCAAAGTGCAACTTCCCTCCTTTTGCCCCCTGGTCTTTGTTGTGTGATGTGATTGAATGAAAGCAACACACAAAGATGCTTTTGTAAAATTACTTTATTTTTTAAACACAATCCACAATTCAGTGCAAGACTTGTTACGTGTTTTGTCATATCCTATTTTATCAATACTGTTTTGCATCATATTGTACATTATTATAACATACTTTATCATATGTTATCATATTGTTTCCTAAAATATTCTTTATCCAATCACATCTTATCATATCTTACTACCAATCAGAAGTCTGTGGCACACTGAAGATAACATTAAGATATTTTTATTGTGTGCGAACAACACGTTTCCCCTGTTGCTTTCACAGATTCGCCCAGCACAATCACTTTTGTGCTAAGTGCAAGTGTGCTCAGGTGAGGGGCACATGAGTGTCACATGCTGCCGGCATGTTTCTCTCATGTGTCGCGGCATATGACCGGTCTGGTCCATTCATGTGCTGCATCATATGCTGCATATAAGTGCCATATTCTGCGGCACATGAGTGGCATATGCCGGTCTGGTCCACTCATGCACCATAATATGCCGCAACACATGAGAAAAACATGCCGGTCTAGTCCACTCATTTGCCGTGGTATATCTTGTACATGAGTGGCACATGAGTGTCACATGCGGCAGCATATGCCGGTCTGGTCCACTCATTTGAAGCGGCAGATGCCGCATATGAGTGCCATGTTCTGGGGCACATGAGTGGCATATGCTGGTCTGGTCCACTCCGCGGCATCTGACACTCGTGTCGCAGCATTTGCCGCTCACATGCGGTATATGCTGCTGCACGAGTGGACCAGAACAGCATATGGTGCCGCATGTGACGCCGCATGTGTCACTCATGTGTCGCGGCACATGCCACTAATATGCAGCATATGCCACAGCAAATGAGTGGACCAAACCAGCATGTTTCTCTCATGTGTCGCGGCATATGCCACTTATATGCGGCACTTGAGTGGCACATGCCGGTGCCGGCATATGAGCCATTTTATCTTACATTAAAAAAATTATGGCGGACTTCCTGTTGGGTTTAGAATATGGGTGAAACAGCAATTTATGTAGGTTTTGACATGGTAAATGTGCATGTAGGTGAAAAATTTGCATGTAGGTGAAAAAAACATCTATGAGTTGGCCTTTTTGAAATTGTCAAGGGGGCGCCACTGAGCCATTAAACCATGCCCACTTATTATACCCACATGAAAAGATTAACTTTCCCACTGGGATGATGTGTATGACATTTCTTGTGTATACGACTATGTTATGCCCCTCAAATAACTACTTCCTGTTTGATGGCGAATGACGCGTATGATGGCAACAGCGTTTGAGGCAGGCCTTTGAGCTCGGAAAGGTAGTATGTCTAAGGTCTTAGGATGGGCCACACCAATTTGGATGGAGATATGAACAACTATGTACAAATGGCTTGTGCTAATTCAGAAGCAAATACTTCCTTTCGTCAACAGGTGGCGCTGTGACTTTATTAGAAATGACCAATATGAATTTGTTCAGGAATGGCCCAACATCTTGCATGCCAAATATGGTGATGATAGAACACTAAATGCCAGAGTTATAACAATTTCTTTGTTTTAAATAATTTCTTCCTGTACGATGTTGAACAATGTGTCTGTGTGGTGACATCGTTTGCCACAGGCCTTTGAGCTTGGAAACATAGTATGTCCAAGGTCTTAGGATAGTCCACACCAATATTCAGGGAGATATGAGCAACCGTGTAGGAATGGCTATTGCTAATTCAGAAGTAGTGACTTCCTGCTGTCAACAGGTGGCGCTGTGACTAAAACAATTTTATTCAGTGTGGGCCCCGTATCTTGCATGACAAATTTGTTGATGATAGAACACTGCATATCAGAGTTATAACAATTTATTTTGTTGGCCTTAAATGTCATCAAACTTTAAGTGCCCGCAACGGCCACGTCCTATGGTGAAACCTCATGATTTGCACGACTTTGAATCTTGAACTTTTCTCCTTTCATTTGATACCAAACTTGAATTGATCAGATGAACGCCCTAGGACAAGTGCGTTCAAATCATACACTGTAAAAAATAAAATAGGGATCAAATAGGGATGCTGTGAAATCTGAAAAATCGCAAATTGGACTTTGACTGTACCTAGCGCACTTCCTGTACATTTAAGAGTATGGTCATGATATAATTTCTTTCTCGTCACATTGAGCTACATATGGCTCACCAATTTTCCTGCATGTCGGTTAACCGCAGTACCCTGAGTGAAGTTTGGGGGCGCTGTGCAGCAATTCGGCGTGCACCGAATGACTTTCATACGTAAATTTCACACGAGGCTGAATTTTGATGAGTTTTCATACATGTTAAAGCCCCCAAATAAGCAATTCATTGTGGCGAGGGTGAATAATAACTCCTTAAGTTTCAATAGGGTCCTCGCGCCGAGGTTGGTGCTTGGGCCCTAAAAACTTAATATTTTCCGGTTATATGGTCCCATTTAAACCTCTTGACATGAGTAAATTCAAATCACATCAATCTCCCA